ACAGTCAGACGAGCCGATTGTCATCTCGTCCGGCACACCAACACAGCACGACAGCGTGGGACAGCGCTCAGGCGCAGCCAGTGACAGCGCCGCCCAGCCAATGCCTGGTATGGGAGGAAACCGGGCCGCACCAAGCCCACGGGAGCCTCGTGAAGCCTGTCGGCACGTGGAGTTTGCGGCAACAAGTGGCGACCAGGCAATCATGGCGCCGATGCCACTCAAGCCGCAGCGCCCACCCTGTTTCGACCCGAGCCAGCGTGGTGGTCCGACGGTTCAGTCGTGGATCTTCACGATGAACGTGTTTTTTGATGCGAACTACGTCGAGTCGGACGCAGCGAAGATACGATACGCCGTCTCGCTGTTGAGGGGCCCCGCTATGGACTGGTGGCGAGTCATCGTGACGTCGCCACGCGCCTACGAGCCACCGTCGCAAGAGGAAGGGCCCGCGGGCCCAGCAGTCAACTGGATTTCATTCTGCGAAACCGCCCAATACATCACGTGGGATGCGTGGTGCGTAGGGCTTCGGGCGCGCTTCGAGCCGATCGCGGCTTCTATTTCGGCGCGTCAGAAAATGCGCACTTGGCGGCAGCTCGGGTCGGTTCAAGACTACACGAGCGGTTTTCTCGCATTATGCGAGCAGGTCGGCTACATGCACGAAGCGGAGCGGGTGGACCGTTACGTCGGAGGGCTAAAGCCGGAAATCTCGCAGGAAATAATGCTACGCGGACTCTCGAATTTCAACGAGATTCTCGCGATCGTCGAGAAAATCGACATTTTGCGCCGTCCGAGACCGGGGTCCTACTACGGACATCGTCCTCGAGGACCGATCGAGCACACCACTGTACACGCCGTTGCGACAAATGCAGCTGCCGCACCATTCAAGGGGCGCTGCTTTGCTTGCAACAGGCCGGGCCATCGTAAAAGTGAGTGTCCAGAGGAGCTAAGGCGCCGCGGAGCAGAGCAAGGGAGGGAGTCTCAGAGGCAGGGAAACGCCAGCAGTCAGTAGAAATTGGGCCGACTACTGACGAGACTGCCTGCGCGCCCAACCACACCGACCCTCACCGAGTCACAGTACCGATCCACGCTATCGATCGGGCTCGGATGAATAAGGAGGGTACAGCGACGGATTGCCCAGTACTGATCCACGGGAAAATACAGGGAGCAGCAGTCAAGATTTTTATCGACGGAGGAGCTAGTCACAGTTTAGTTAATACCGCGACCGCACGGAAACTTCAACTGACACTTAGCCGGTGCTTACCTGAGATTGATGCACGCTTAGTCGACGGCACGCCGCTGGCCATACGGGAGAAGGTGGAGAGAGTAAAAGTTCGCTGCGGAGGGAACTTTGGGTTTACACAAGAAATGCTCGCAACGACACTGGATGGGCACAAAATTTTACTAGGACGTGATTGGTTGCGACGTTACAACCCGAGAATCGACTGGACGACAGGCAGCTGCACTGTGCGAAGTAGTGGTAACTGGGTCGAACTACCACGCTGGCCGTCGCCTGAATCGTCGACGGTCCACGTCAACGCCATAACAATGAAACGGGCAGTCGCCGCTGGAGCTGACGTGTATGCAGTGGACATCGCAGTGGTAGGAGAAGCTGAGCAGCCGAGTGATTTTCAGAAACTGCTGACAGCGGTACCGCCTGAACTACAGGAGCTATTGAAACGGTACCCGGGGATTTTCCCTGACGACTTACCGGAAGGACTGCCACCTCAGCGGGCACACGACCATAGGATAGAGCTAGAGCCGAGGGCACAGCCAACTGTGCAGCGCCAGTTCAGACTGACACAGCCGGAGCTCGACGAACTGAGGAAGCAGTTAGATTACCTGTTAGCGAAGCAGTTTATCCGACCGAGTTCGTCCCCGTTCGCCGCACCGATACTATTCACACCAAAAAAAGATGGAGGGTTTCGCATGTGCATCGATTACCGAGCGCTCAACAGGGTTACAGTGAAGTCACGATACCCCATTCCCCGCGCCGACGAACTGATCGACCAGCTGCGAACAGCACGGGTGTTCTCGAAGATAGATTTACGGGGAGGTTACCACCAGATTAGAGTCGAACCATCGGACTGCGCCAAGACAGCTTTTAGGACTAGGTACGGGTCGTTCGAGTATACCGTGATGCCTTTCGGACTGACCAACGCACCTGCAACATTCCAGATGACCATGAACGAGGCGTTTAGACCACTTTTAGATAAGTGTGTGATAGTCTACCTCGACGACATTCTCGTCTACAGGCGCGATAAGCAGCAGCATTTAGCGGACCTGGAAGCAGTGTTTAAAATTTTAGAGGAGCATCGGTTATTGACCAAGGGGTCTAAGTGCGAGTTCTTTCAGGATAGGTTAGAATTTTTGGGGCACGTTATTTCGGAGGCTGGGGTTGAGATTGACCCGAAGAAGCTGGATACGGTCAAAGCTTGGCACCCCCCGACAAACATCACGGAGCTGCAAAGTTTTTTGGGTTTTGTTAATTACGTCCGTCGGTTCGTCCCCAACATGGCACGCTTAACTGCCCCACTGACGGATCTGCTGCGGAAGGGGGTCGTTTTTACGTGGGGGGAGAACGAGCATGCTGCCTTCTCTACCCTGAAAAATGTTCTCTGTTCACCGCCTGTCCTGCGCATTGCCGACCCACGCCGCCCATTCGAAGTCATTACTGACGCAAGCGACATCGCCATCGGAGCCGTACTGCTACAGGATTTCGGGAACGGCCTACAGCCCATCACATACGAATCACGAAAGCTGCACCCACCTGAGAAAAATTACCCGATACACGATCGCGAAATGCTTGCGATCGTGCATGCGTTCAAAGTGTGGCGCTGTTACTTGACCGGCGCAAACGTGACAGTACGGACAGACCACCGATCACTACAGTATCTCCGCACACAACCCCACCTCAACCCACGACAGATCCGCTGGCTCGACTTTCTAGAGTCGAATTTCCATTACACGGTCACCTACAAAAAGGGAGCTTCCAACATTGCCGACGCACTGACCCGCCCCACTGCCCAAATCCACGCAATACTACTCGCCCAGACTAGCCCACTACTGACAGGACTATTTACCCACGGATATCAAACAGACCCATTCTTCACCGGAGGCAATTCGCAGCAGTTCGCAGCAGCACGAGGGGTCTATTACGTAAAAGCCGGGACCGACCGCATTTGGGTACCCGGGTATACACTACTACGGGAATTACTGTTACAGGAGGCACACGACGGAGTTACCTCGGGACATTTTGGGGTAGAAAAAACACGGCAGCAGCTACAGCGGTATTATTAGTGGCCAGAAATGTTGACCGACATCCAACGACACGTGGCGTCGTGTCCCACCTGCCAGGTCATGAAATCATCACGGAAGCGGCCGGCAGGACAGTTGCAGCCGATTCCACCCCCAGAGCGTGCTTGGCAGCAGGTGACGATGGATCTCATCCGGGCCACGTGCGACGACCCGAACACGTGGGAACAGCAACTGCCACTCATTGAATTCGCGTACAACAATTCGCCCTCCGCCACGACCCAACAGTCACCGTTTTACCTGAACTACGGACAGGACCCAACAGTACCCATGACCCCAAATCCCGACAATCCAGTCCCACGCGCACAACAGTTCGCCGAGATTTTGCAAGCAGCACGGACCAGGGCAACAGACGCAATTAAAAAAGCCAACATCATCGCTAAGCGCAACGCCGATCGCCACCGCCGACCCGTCACTTACCAGCCAGACGACCTAGTACTACTCGATACTCAGAACCTCCGCTTGCCCATCACTCCAAAACTTCGCCCACGATATTGTGGGCCATTTCGCATCAGCCACATGATCACACCTGTCACCGCCCACCTCCTCCTCCCTGCTGACTGGTACGTCAGCCCGTCATTCCACGTCAGCCTACTTCGCCCTTACATCCCATCCACGAGCCAACTGCCACGAAATCGCCCAGCCAGCATGACACGCCCCCTAACCGAACCAATCATCACCCCTGAAAAAATCCTCAGCCACCGAGTCCGCGACCCTCGGGGAGCCCGAAGGATCGAGTTCCTAATTCGCTGGAAGGACCGAACGCCCACAGAAGACAACTGGGTCCCCCTGGATAAAATCGAGAACCACCCTGTCTTCACCGAGTACCTGCGAAGCCGACATTTCCGCGACGTCCATGCGCTCTCGTAAGAGGGGCCTCCTTGGGGAGGGGGGTAGTGTAAGGAAAATTCCTTTTCCTTACTTCGCATCCCCGCTCAACGCATACATCACTGTAGCACCTCAGTCAGCACCGTTACCACTCGCATCAATAATCCGCCCACCATTTTTCGCATGTCGTACCCCGACCTCACGGCTCGGCGGTAACCCGCGCTCCGGACCTCCGCCTCGACACTTTTCCCAACCTCAGTCCCAGGCCCGTCGCGCGACAACCATAGTCCATTACCGTTACCACTGTAGTTTCGCTATATAATCCTTCGCTCATGCCTTCGCTCATTGTACCTTTGCTTCGATAGTGCAATCTTCGTTCGCGCACTCCATTGCACCCGTAACAGCGAACAACGGCTGCTGCTGTACGCGGTGTTGCAGGGTGCGCTAAGGAATATCGAGAAAATTCCTTACACACAGTCGTGTAACACTAGACTTCCTTATTGTCTCTTTTATCGTAGATGTAGCTTGACTTGTCATGCAGCTTACCATACCCATCAAATGGCACACTCAATAATAAATTGTACAACCTCCTTTAAGGGTACATTCCGCTGTGGACACATGTCCCAGTCGATGCGTCCCAATTGTTTCTACCGCACTGCATCGTATTACAACAAATTGCAACCTAGTTTCGAAATTTTCGCGTCTCTAGTTTAGTTCGGTTCGGAGCGGTACACTCGATTGGGACACATCGATTGGGACATGTGTCCACTGCGGAATGTACCCTAAATGTGTACATGCCAATACGCAATTGACTACGAATAATGTATAATCACGGCATCCATCCATGCCAAATTGATATTTTTTCATTGAAGCGAAGGTGGTAGTGTAGCAATCATGTGCTCAATTTTCTCCACCACCTGTGCAGCCGTCGGGCGTTGCTTCACATTCTGCTGAAGCATCCACTCCACCAGCCTATGGAACGACGCAGGGTACCCCACCACCTCCCCTCCCGCTCCTTCCGCAGCAGAGAAACCAGAAAAGTCGCCTCCAGACGAACCAGGAGCGTCCATTAGAGCAGGGGAGGGAGAGGAGGAGGAGGCGGGGAGGGGTGGATGTGGCCATTTGATGGTGCCGCTCATAACTGCGAGCTGCAGGCTGCCTCCTGATTCGCCAAGGGAGAACTCGAAAGGGGACTGGCCATACCTGGGGTTTGAGAAAGAAGAGAAAAAGAGGCAATGGGAAAAAAAGGGGGGGGGGGGGGGGGGGGGGGGGGGGGGGGGGGTGGGGGTGGGGGAGGGGGAGATAAGGGAGAGGAAGTGGCAGGTAGGTGGGGAGGGGCCGGTGGGGGCCATTTGATGGTTCCATGCATAACTGCAAGCTGCAGGCTGCCTCCTGACTCGGCCAGGGAAAACTCGAAATCGGACTGCCCATACCTGAGGTTCAGAAACGAGAGAAATGAGTGAGGAAAAAAACAAGGAACAAACTGGGGTTGAGAAGGGAGGGAAGGTAAGAGTGGTTTGGAATGAGAATTATGGTATGTGTGGAGAAAGAGGACGTTCAGGGAGCTGCTCCCTTACGAAAATACACATATTGTCACAATTACCCACAGCCACTGTTGCATAGCTCGTTGTCAACTCTGCCTACAGTCACACTCACATGGTGGCATAGAGGGTGCATTCCAGCGACCACACGCCATTCTATGCCTCCCTGCCTCCACTTACAATCACAGTACTGGTATGCTCAACTGCCTACAGTCACACTCACATGGTGGCATAGAGGGTGCATCCCAGCGACCACACGCCATTCTGGCACCCTGCCTCGACTTACAATCACAATACTGATATGCTCAACTGCCTACAGTCACACTCACATGGTGGTGTAGAGGGTGTATCCCAGCAACCACACGTCACTCCTCTCATCAATATCCATCTCTCTCGGGCAGTCCCAAAACTCTGACACTCGGTGAACCGCTGAACAGTGCTGCGGCGCTCATTACAGTCACATCGGCCCACAGTCACACTCACATGGTGGCATAGAGAGTGCATCCCAGCGACCACACGTCACTCCTCTCATCGATCTCCATCTCACTCGGGCAGTCCCAAAACTCCGGTGCTCGGTACGCCGCTGAACAGTGCTGCGCCGCCCATTCCTGTGACGGAATCAAAGCCAGCAAGCGAAAGGAATATGGAGAGAAAAAAGCAGGTCAGCTAAGAAATCCGCTGAGCTCTAAACGCGTCTGAACAGTGCTAATTTCCCCCCAAAAAAGGATTTGTTTGAGAGAACAGATTAGATCCAGAGAAGGAAGGGGAGAGAATGCAAAACACAAGACTAGGGCAGACTCATAAGTTAGGATCTCAGCATGTCAGACACATGCTTTTGAAAGACAGGAAAGCATAGAAAAGTAAAAACACTGACCTGCAAGGACAAGGCCTGGTTGCGCGAGGTGATGTGTCTCCTGGCAGGCGTGGTGAAGCCAAAGTCCATAATCACCACCGCAACATCTGATGCCGATGCTGTATACTTCAGTGTACCCACTACATGCATGCTAAGAGGCAGTGAGAGGTAGTGAGAGGTTATGAGCGGCACTGAGAGGAAGTGAGAGGTAGTGAGAGGTAGTGAGAGGTAGTGAGAGGTAGTGAGAGGTAGTGAGAGGTAGTGAGAGGTTATGAGAGGCACTGAGAGGAAGTGAGAGTCACTCACCTGCAACGACAGGGCTTGGTTGCGAGAGGTGATGTGTCTCCTGGCAGGAGTGGTGGACCCAAAGTCCATAATCGCCACCAAGTGTGGCAGGAAAAACATGCATCCCATTCATACGCACCTGCAAGGACAGCGCCTGGTTGCGAGAGGTGATGTGTCTCCTGGCAGGCGTGGTGGAGCCGAAGTCCATACTCGCCACCGGCACATCCCATGTGGTGAGAAGCGGTGAGAAGAGGTGATAAGCAGTGAGAGCCCTCACTTACCTGCAACGACAGGGCTTGGTTGCGAGAGGTGATGTGCCTCCTGGCAGGCGTGGTGGAGCCGAAGTCCATAATCGCCACGGCAACATCCGATGCCGATGCTGTTGGTAACCGCTCCAACGGCACTCCCTCGCCTGCTCTCTCCCCTGCTCTCTCCCCTGCTCCCTCGCCTCCTGCTGCTCCTCCTACTACTCCTGCTGCTTCTCCCCCCCCGTTCTGCCCACCTTGGTTAGCCTTTCCCGCTTCTCCTCCCGCAGCAGCACCATCAGCAGCAGCAGAGGGAAATGCAGGAAAGGCACCACCGCCACCACTACCACCGGCACCAGGAGAACCACCACCAGCACTACTGCCTATACCCGATACAAAAGCATCATCCCTCTCTGCTACACCTGTCATGCAGATACCATCCCCACCACCTTTACCTATCCCCCCTGTGGCCCCGTGCCCTCCCCCAAAGGCTATGAGAATGTTCCCTGGCTTGACGTCGTTGTGGGCTAGAGGGGGCGAGCATGCATGCATGTGTGCAAGGCCGGAGGCGACCTGGTGAAGGGAGGGAGGGGAGCGGAATCAGTGCAAGGAAGGGAGGAGATGAGAATGTTCCCTGGCTTGACGTCGTTGTGGGCTAGAGGGGGCAAGCATGCATGCATGTGCAAGGCCGGAGGCAACCTGAGAAGAAAGGGAGGGGAAAGGGGAAGGAGAGGGGAAAAAGAGCTAGGCTATGAGGACGCTTCCTGGCTTGACGTCGTTGTGGGCTAGAGGGGGCGAGCATGCATGCATGTGTGCAAGGCCACATGCAACCTGGGAAGAAACGAAGGGGAAAGATTGGGAAGTGGGGAGGGGTATATGCCATTGTGTGCACACATAGCGCACTCCCTGTGACTCTGTGCCCACCAAATGCTATGACCAATGTATGCATGCAAAGACGTGACTGTGAGCATTTGCCACAGTGGGGCATGTGTGTGTGTAATATACAGTCGGGCATCGCCGTAAAGCACGCGTAAACGTAGCAAGACGATGAAGCATGCGAACGTAGCAAGACGATGAAGCATGCGTAAACGTAGCAAGACGATGAATCATGCGTAAACGTAGCAAGACGATGAAGCATGCATAAACGTAGCAAGACGATGAAGCATGCGTAAACGTAGCAAGACGATGAAGCATGCGTAAACGTAGCAAGACGATGAAGCATGTATAAACGTAGCAAGACGATGAAGCATGCATAACTGCTAGTGTGGGGCATTCGAGAGAAAAGCAAACAGAACCAATACCTGGCTGATAATGGAGAGCACTTGAAGCGGTGAGAAGCGGTGGCCTCTACCGGGCTGCGACCCCTTGGGCTTTTAAGTCGACTCAATAATGAAGCGTCCATTACCTGGTTGATAATGGTGAGCACTTGAAGCGGTGAGAAGCGGTGGCATCGATTACCTGGCTGATAATGGAGAGCACTTGAAGCGGTGAGAAGCGGTGGCCTCTACCAGGCTGCGACCCCTTGGGCTTTTAAGTCGACTCAATAATGAAGCGTCCATTACCTGGTTGATAATGGTGAGCACTTGAAGCGGTGAGAAGCGGTGGCATCCATTACCTGGCTGATAATGGAGAGCACTTGAAGTGGTGAGAAGCGGTGGCCTCTAACGGGCTGCGACCCCTTGGGCTGAGCCATCCACCCGACATGGTCTTGAATGGTGCCGTCCCTGTAGACTGGGAAGACGAGATATGCCTCCTTGGTGCCCTGCTGCTGCTGCAATGGGGTTAGGGCAACAAGAGGGATTGGGAGAAGTGGTCCGAAGTGGTGAGAAGCGGTGGCCTCTACAAGAGGAAAGTTGCGACCCCTTGGGCTGAGCCATCCACCCGACATGGTCGTGAGTGGTGCCGTCCCGGTAGACTGGGAAGACGAGATATGCCTCCTTGGTGCCCTGCTGCTGCATGCGGTTAAAACGACAAGTGGGATGGTGAGAAGCGGTGAGAACCGGTGTTAAGTGGTGGCCTCTACCAGATGAGGGCTGTGACCCCTTGGGCTGAGCCATCCACCCGACATGGTCGTGAATGGTGCCGTCCCGGTAGACTGGGAAGACCAGGTACGCCTCCTTGGTGCCCTGCTGCTGCTGCAGGATTGAAGGGAGTGGAATAGTTAGGGACGGGGGGTGTGGGGGGTGGGAGGGAGAGAAAGAGAGGATAGAAAGTGGGGAGGCAGGAAAGGAAAAGGAGGTCAATCAGGTTGGGGAATCACGCTAGAGAGTTAACGTGGTAAGGCAGAGAGGTAAAGGAACCCAGGAATTACCTTGGATGACACTATGGCGTGTTCCACTAAATGAAGCACGCTGGGAAACGAAATTGGGAGTTGACATGGCAAATCAGGAAGGGAGAGGAAATCAGGAGTTACCTTGGATGAAACTATAGCATGCTCCACTAAAGGGAGCAAGCTGGGGTGATCTAGTTTTGATGCGACGTCGATTTCGGCCTTCACCAGCAGCAGCTGCTCCTTGGTCTGTATCAGAAACTTCTTTAACGCGTATGTGTTGTCAGCTGGAGGAGAGAGGGGGATAGAGAAAATAAGCACAGCAACTATTCTGTCCGTATCATAACTTATATAACGCGTATGTTTTGTGAGGTGGACGAAGGATGGAGTGGGGGACACAAAGGGAGACAAGATTGTGGGAAATGAAGGTGGGAAGGTGGAGCATGTAAAAGGTTTATAGCGAGGATAAGCCTCGTTAAGTGCAAAATTAGTTACAGGGGTCTTACGAGAGACGTATTTCCGTTTCGGTTTGGCTGGAACAGCTGGATTGACGTCCGTATCATCCGCTGATCCTGCATTTTCCTCTGACTTTCGGGGTTCTGCAGCCTTGTCATCACCGCTAGTCTCCACGTCAGCAGCTGGATCCGACAATGCATCTGCACCATCGACGGCGCTGCTGCGGCTGCTACCGGTTTCGCGAACTAGGTAAACGAAAGCGTAACCACCTTCGCCCAGGTTCTGCACGATGCGGAACCGTCGCCCGTTGACCTTCACCTCCTCGCCACTACTCACAGCATCATAAATCGCCGCCAAACCAGACCACGTGCAACCCATTAGGTCTTTAATATCCTTTAATTCCCTAATATCCTTAAAATCTTTCACGTTGCTGCTGTTCCGGGCAGCCCCGTGACGAAAAGTTTCGACCAGGTGATCGACGTTTTGAGTCACTTGTTTCACGCGTTCGCTTTCAAAAACGTTATCGACAAGCTTCTCTACGTTCTGTTTCACGCCTTGGCTACCTGCGAACACGCTCTCGTACAAACGGGACAGGCCCTCGCCCACACCGTGAGCCTGGGTCGGAGGCTCCACAGAACCACCCTGGACCCCTCTAGAACCGCTGTGGACCCCTTCAGATTCGCCTTGACCCCTGGCGAACACACTGTCGTACCAACGGGAGAGTCCTTGAGAGTTCATGTGACGAGGCTCATGCTCGCCGCGAAGATCGGAAAAATGATGGCGATTTTGTTGTTCTGGCGGACCCTAAAATGGAGCTTGAAGCCAAGACGCTAAGGCTAGTACCAGATATGCTACATGAGGTAATAAGCTATTGCAGCAGAGTCAACGGTCACTAAGGCCGCAGTCTGAAGTTTGCCCACCATCCGAAGTCTTCCCACGCGGCTCGAAATGCTGGTTTTGCAATTTATTCACATTTCAATGTTTGCCCACGCGGCTCGACTTCAGGCCAACCGGCCATGGTCGCATTTCTCTGCCTGCACGTCAATGTGCGACTTCATCGATTGGTGGTTTGGGGGGTTGTGCTTTCGGAGAGTCTGGTTACGTACTACATGCTGTTTGAAAGTCTTGACTTGCGCGACCTTGAGGCATGGCCGTTAGGTAATTGCCTGACGATATTTATCGCACCTTCTTCGTGCGTTTTTAAGAGAAGATTTTATTGGCGGCGAAAACGATTCGGTTGGACACCTGTCATGCGATCCGGGCGACCTCTGTCGCCCGCCAAAAGCAGGTTTGGTGGCCAAAGTGGGGCCCTGCCCCACCCGGACACCATCAGCCCCGGTGGGCAGACTTCATGGTGGACAAACTTGAGAATGCGGTCTAAAGCAAGTCTGGCTGTTGTGAGGAATGCTGCGAGTCTCGAGGGGACTAGATCCTCCAGGGACCAATCTCCCGAACGAATGTCATGTGGTTTTGTTACAGAGATCCAACGGCAGCGAATAACCTAAGGACGAGGACACTCGCATCGAGTTCGGCAATCGATCGTGCAAAATCGATCTACTACCGCACTGAAAACCTGCAAAACGTTTCTTAAATAAATAAATCGTAAAAAACCGAACCTACGGAAGGAATTTTCTCGGCATTCCTTACGGAGCCGACTACATCGCGTACAGCAACAGCCGATTGTTCGCCCGTTACTGCTAACGGAACTTCGCCGACTTCGCGCGCACTGTTTTACTAAACCTCGCACTGCTGGCATGGCCGTATCGGCCTACGCTTCGGGACTAGCCCGAGCCTCGCTCCAGCGTAGCACTAGCAAGCTCGCACGCACCGCGTTACCGTTTTGCATGTTTCGCGTATAAATGTTCGCTCATACCTTCGCTCACATTTTGTACTCGTTTGACACCTTAGTGCAACTCTCGCTACCTCGATTCATTGCACCCGTAACACTTGGTTATCAGAGCCCCTTTCTTTCGGACCGCGCATCTCCGCACACCAGGAAATCAACTTTTGATTTTTCACTCGAAGGGACTCACGCACCTTAGCCCCTAGGAGCCGCTGTCCTCGCGTTCTCTCGTAAACGCGTGCAGCCACGACCGCGCCTAGACTAAGACGAGCCGACGCCCTTCGTCATGGCCGAAAACATCGACGTCACCACTCTCACGCAGGAGCGTTTGAACGATCTGCTGCGACAACTGCACGAAAGCTCCGAGGAAATCGCGGCATTGACGGCAGAACGCTCATCACTGCAAAATGACCTCCTGAGAGCACAATCTCAAGCACCTGGCACTCCGATTCAACCCGCACCCTCAACATCACAACACGGGAGTGTGGGGCAACCCGCGAGCGCGGCCAGTGATGGCGTCGTCCGCCCCGACGGAGACGACGACCACGGCACGACACACCCCAGAGCGACGCCTGCGGCCCCAAGTCAGCCTCGCGTCACGATTTCGGCACCAACCCACGATTCGGGACTGCCGTCACCGATGCCGCTGAAGCCGCAGCGTCCGCCATGCTTTGACCCGAGTCAACGGGGTGGTCCTACCGTTCAGGCGTGGTTATTCACAATGAATGTTTTCTTCGACGCCAACTACGTCTCGGAGGACTCGGCGAAGATTCGATACGCCGTGTCGTTGCTGCGAGGACCCGCCATGGACTGGTGGCGCGTCATCGTCACGAAGCCGACCGACTACGCGACACTACCGACACGGGAAGGACAAACCGGACCCTGGGCGCCGTCGTATTTCGTGGAGGTGCCCCAATATCGCACGTGGGACGCGTGGTGCGCAGGTCTGCGCGCTCGATTTGAGCCAATCGCGGCCTCGATCTCGGCGCGACAGAAGCTCCGCACTTGGCGCCAACTCGGTTCCGTCCAGGATTACACGAGCGGATTTCTGGCGCTATGCGAGCAGGTGGGCTACATGCATGAGAGCGAACGCATCGACCGCTACATCGGCGGCCTGAAGCAGGACATCGCTCAGGAAATCCAGCTTCGCGGCGTCACTGAGTTTCAGGAAATTCTCGCTATGGCGGAGAAGCTCGACTTCTTTCGCCGACCGAGACCGGGGTCCTACGGAAACAACAACTGGGGACATCGGCCTCGTGGGACGAACGAGAGCGCCACGATACGCGCCGTCGCCGCAAATGCCGCTGCCGCACCGTTCAAAGGGCGCTGCTTTGCGTGCAATCGGCCGGGACATCGCAAGAGCGAATGCCCGGAAAACGCTAAGGGAAAGGGGGAAGCTGAGCAGCAGACACAGACCAAGCAGCAGGGAAACGCTGGAAGTCAGTAGCAGACGGGCCCTCTACTGACAGGTCACGCCGCTCGCCCGACCCAACCGACCCTCACCGAGTGATTGTGCCGGTTCACGCAATCGACCACACCCGGCCGAATAAGGAGGGTACCACGGTAGATAGCCCTATACTGCTCAGTGGGAAAATTGGGACGGACTTAGTTAAAATCTTCGTAGATGGGGGAGCCAGCCACAGCCTCATTAACACTGCTACAGCACGCAAACTGCGACTGCCACTGGACCGATGCTTACCTGAGATCGATGCACGACTGGTAGACTGGCACGCCGCTGGCAATACGGGAACGCGTAGACCGAGTTCGGATTCGATGCGGGGGTAACTTCACGTTTAGTCGGGAAATGCTCGCAACGACCCTCGACGGAACCGACATTTTACTCGGGCGTGATTGGCTGCGACGACACAATCCGCGAATTCACTGGACGACAGGTGACTGCACCGTGCGAGTAAACGGTAACAACATCGCCTTACCTCGCTGGGGCTCGCTTGAGTCTTCGTCGGTGCGTGTCAACGCGATCACGATGAAACGCGCTGTTGCGGCCGGAGCCGACGTGTACGCGGTTGACATTCGGGAAGCCGAGGCAGCAGACAAGGGGGGCGATTTACAGAAACTGCTGACCGACGTACCGAGTGACCTGGCGGCACTGTTAAAACAGTACAGTAACATTTTCCCGGATGACTTACCGACGGGACTGCCACCTCAGCGACCGCACGATCACAGGATAGAATTGGAACCGGGGGCACAGCCAACAGTACAGCGACAGTTCCGACTGACCCAACCCGAACTAGACGAACTAAGGAAGCAGCTCGATTACCTGCTCGAAAAGGAATTCATTCGCCCTAGTTCGTCGCCCTTCGCCGCACCAATACTGTTCACACCGAAAAAGGACGGGGGGTTTCGCATGTGTATCGACTACAGGGCACTAAACAGGGCTACCATCAAATCCCGTTACCCCATCCCACGAGCCGACGAACTGATCGACCAACTGCGCACAGCCCGGGTTTTCTCGAAAATCGACCTCCGAGGAGGCTACCACCAAATCCGCGTCAACCCACCCGACTGCCCTAAAACCGCATTCCAAACACGCTACGGATCCTTCGAATACACCGTCATAGCCATTCGGACTGACCAACGCCCCCGCCACTTTCCAAATGACCATGAACGAAGCATTCCGCCCGCTTTTAGATAAGTGCGTCATCGTTTATCTGGACGACATACTGATTTACAGCCCTGACAGAGCACAGCACTTACAGGACATCGAAGCAGTTTTTAAAATCCTGAGTGAGAACCGCCTACTGACCAAAGCATCTAAGTGTGAGTTTTTACAGGACCGCCTGGAGTTTTTGGGACATGTTATTTCAGCTGTAGGAGTGGAAATAGACCCGAAGAAAATTGCGACGATTCAGGCTTGGCACGCGCCGACCAACTTGACCGAGTTGCAGAGTTTCCTGGGGTTCGTCAACTACGTGCGCCGGTTCGTCCCCGACATGGCGAAGCTGACTGCCCCGTTGACTGACCTGCTGAGGAAGGGGGTTGAGTACACGTGGGGGGAGAAAGAGCAAGCTGCCTTCTCGGCCCTCAAAAATATTTTGTGCTCCCCGCCCGTCCTTCACATTGCCGATCCCCACCGTCCGTTCGAGCTCGTCACCGACGCAAGCGACATCGCTGTGGGAGCAGTACTGTTGCAGGATTTCGGGAACGGCCTCCAGCCAATCGCATACGAGTCCCGCAAGTTACACCCGCCCGAACGTAACTACCCGATACACGACCGCGAGATGCTAGCGATCGTGCACGCGTTCAAAGTTTGGCGATGTTACCTGACTGGCGCCGACGTGACAGTACGGACAGACCACCGCTCGCTACAGTATCTTCGCGCCCAACCGAATCTCAACCCACGACAGATTCGCTGGTTGGACTATCTCGAGTCCAATTTTCACTACACCGTTACGTACAAAAAGGGTGCATCCAACATCGCCGACGCTCTCACCCGCCCCACCGCCCAACTCCATGCCATCCTACTCGCCCAGACCAACCCGCTTTTAACTGGCCTATTCACCCACGGATATCGCACCGACCCATTTTTCACGACCGGAAATTCACAGCAACTAGCAGAAGCAAAAGGAGTCTATTACGTAAAAGCAGGCACCAACCGCATTTGGGTACCCGCGTATTCACTACTAAGGGAGCTGCTACTACAGGAGGCACACGACGGGATTACCTCGGGACATTTCGGGGTAGAAAAAACGCGACAGCAACTGCAGCGGTACTATTACTGGCCGGAGCTGTTGACCGACGTACAGCAGCACGCGGGCTCGTGCCCGACGTGTCAGGTGATGGAAGCGGAAGGCGGGTCAATTGCAGCCGATCCCACCGCCCGAACGCGCCTGGCAGCAAGTAACCATGGACTTCGTCACAGGGTTACCTTCGAACCCTGGGGGTAACGACGCGGTGATGGTCGTCGTGGATAGGCTGACGAAGATGGCACACTTCGCTGCGTGCAAAAAGTCGATCTCAGTCGAGGAGACCGCTCGCCTGTTCATCGCAGCCGTTGTTCGCCTGCACGGGATACCAGCAGCAATTATCAGCGACAGGGACACGAAATTTACCAGCAATTTCTGGAAGAACCTCTGGGAGCAGTTCGGGACCAGGCTACAGTTCAGTTTGTCGTACCACCCCGAGACCGACGGCCAAACGGAGCGGACGAATCAGACGATGGAGCAGTTGATTCGTGCCACGTGCGACGACCCCACGACCTGGGAGCAGCAGCTGCCGCTGATCGAGTTCGCGTACAACAACGCCACATCAGCCACGACGCAGCAGTCCCCGTTCTACCTGAACTATGGGCAGAACCCCACAGTGCCCATGACGCCGAGTCCGGACAACCCAACGCCACGCGCACAACAATTCGCCGAAATCCTGCAAGCTGCCCCCAGAGCCGCCGAAGCAATAAAAAAGGCCAACGTCATCGCTAAGCGCAACGCTGATCGCCACCGCCGCCGCATCACGTATCAATCTGGAGATTACGTGCTACTCGACACGCAAAATCTGCGACTGCCCGACGTACCAAAATTACGACCACGCTACTGTGGACCATTCCAAATCAGTCACATGATCACACCCGTCACCGCACACCTACTGTTGCCAACCGACTGGTACATCAGCCCTTCGTTCGACGTCAGCCTACTTCGCCCATACATCCCGACCACAAGTCAACTGCCGCGTCACCGGCCACAATCAATGACTCGCCCTGCATCAGAGCCGATCATCGAGCCCGAAAAAATTCTGAGCCATCGGATCCGCCACCCTACGGGAATCAGGAGGATTGAATTCCTCGTTCGCTGGAAAGACCGCACGCCAACTGAAGATAGCTGGGTGCCCCTGAGCAACATCGAAAATCACCCTGCCCTGCAAGTGTAGCTGAGGAGCCGGGGATTCCGCGATATACACGCACTCGCGTAGCGGAGGGGGCTTCTTGAGGGGGGGGGTAGTGTAAGGAATTTTCTCGGCATTCCTTACGGAGCCGACTACATCGCGTACAGCAACAGCCGATTGTTCGCCCGTTACTGCTAACGGAACTTCGCCGACTTCGCGCGCACTGTTTTACCAAACCTCGCACTGCTGGCATGGCCGTATCGGCCTACGCTTCGAGACTAGCCCGAGCCTCGCTCCAGCGTAGCACTAGCAAGCTCGCACGCACCGCGTTACCGTTTTGCATGTTTCGCGTATAAATGTTCGCTCATACCTTCGCTCACATTTTGTACTCGTTTGACACCTTAGTGCAACTCTCGCTACCTCGATTCATTGCACCCGTAACAGTTACAGAGATCCAACGGCAGCGAATAACCTAAGGACGAGGACACTCGCATCGAGTTCGGCAATCGATCGTGCAAAATCGATCTACTACCGCACTGAAAACCTGCAAAACGTTTCTGAAATAAATAAATCGTCAAAAACCGAACCTACGGAAGGATCAATCGCCAAAATCGACGCGAGTGCCCGCGTCCTAAGGGCGTGTACACTAGAACGCAATTTCATATATTTAGATCACTGTTTTCGAACTGTTCTCGAAGTCATAATGCGAACTCTCGATAATCGAACTTCTGATTCAGGGTCGACGTCGTAGCGGAAGCTCCATTTGGAGGAGCAACGCGTCAATGTTGCACACTTCAGTTTCCGAACTTGACGCGGCGCGCTTAATTTCGGTACAGTAGCGATTTCGTCGCCAACAATGTGATTAGCTGAAAGATTTGCAAAATCGCCGCCCAACCAAATGTCCGAAAATTCACCCGTCACCAACACAACTACAAAATCACACCACCAATACTGAGCTTCAGAATCACCAGACCCTCCAACCCTCGTCATGGATCGTCGCCAGCTCTTGTAGTTGCTCTCAATGATGTATCAGGGATACATCATGCCGTTGGTGACTGCTCTTCCAACTACAATCAGCGAGATGGTCCTTGCCGTCACAATCACCGGTTCACGCATGTTCGTTCGTGGCGATCGCCTCGATTCAAGATGGCGCTGGATCAATCTGTTGCAACGCCTACCAGCAGGGCGCTTCTTCAACTACTTGCGCGTCGACAAACCTGTTTTCCAGTATCTCGTCAGACAGTTTGAGGAGAGTGGGTTTGGCAAGCCAGATAATCCTATACATAATTTGGTGTCCGTTGCTCTTGCACTCACTGGACTGGCCCTTGGTTGGGGTATCGTGAGCTAGGACTGCATTTCGGATTCAGCCATACTAACGCTAAGAAGGTGTTCGACATCTTTATCACTTTCGTGAACACTTGGCTTGTGCCCGAGTGGTTGCAATGGCTGACAGCACGCGGATTTCGGTACATGGAAGCCCACTTCCGTGAACAAGGCGGGATCCCAGGAATAGTCGGGGCCATCGACGGGACGTACATCCGCACTCGAGGGTGGGGTGAGAATCGCGAAGTTTTCCGGAACCGTAAAGGCTTCTTCTCCATCATTCTTCAGATTATTTGTGATTATGCCGGCATTATTTGGGATTTCTACGCCGGGTGGCCCGGTTCTGTCAACGATGCACGCGTTTTCAATAACAACCCAGCAAATGCACGCATTCAAGCATGTGACATAGGTGACTACGCGATAGTGGGGGACGCTGCTTACGGACTAAGGCCCTACACCTACCTACCGCACCGCGCTACTCACGGGCGCTCACTGTTGTAGAGGACTCTCCTCTACTTTGCAGGAACAGGGAATTGTTCTAAGCAGTAGAGCACTCTGCTAGCTTTCCAACGAGCCGTAGATCACCTCGTTCGCCTAAGTATCGAGCGAGATATCGCCGTTTATGTGCTAGGTAGTGCTCTTAGAAGCAAGGATAGACCTCTCTAGAATTTTGGTTCGAATGTACCTTGTATAAAGAACTCTGAGTTTCACTATAAAACATGCATACAAGGCAAGTCGATTTATAGCAAATGCATTACATCGAACCGCACATGTAACATCGCATCGCTACACTCGCGTCGCGAATGCGCCGCGTGTAACATTTCGGTTGGGGTGAAATTCGGCCACTGAATTTCACACCGAACACACCGAATTCGCCTTGCACTTGAAGGTTGGAATGTGGTGCCGCCACGTGGCACCGAATTGTGAGTCTTCCGAAGTCAATCGGTGCAACCCCACCGATCCCTAGTCAAAGGGATCGAAGGCACCGAAGTGCCCTCGGTGGGTTGGGGGCATACAACCGCCCCACCACTGAACTCCCTCCAACACTCCCCCTTGCACCCAACCCACTAGGTTCGCAAGCCAACATGCTCATAGCATGCACGGGGTGAACCTTTAGTGAGTGGTTCCGTGAGGGAATCCGCGTGTTCATTATCACCGGTCGCGAAGCAATATGCCACGCCCTCCTTATCCGTCTCCCCAACGGCTACCGTAGCATAGTCGGCGTACTTGGAGGGAGGACGAACCTCACGACGCTCGCGAGTCAAGGCCAATGGTAGGGAGGAAGGTGTGGAGGTAGTTGCCGTCTCGGTTGGTGACACCTCCTCGACATCATCAACGCTCTCCTCGTTGTTCCCTCCCCCCCCTTCTTCGGCTTCCTTCTCCACTTGAGATGGAACCTCACTCTCTTCAACCTCCTCTCGTGGCGGAAGGATGAAGGTGAGTTGTTGAGTGGGTTCTTCCTTTGATGGGAACTTGTCTTCATCGATGACCACGTCCCGAGACGGGACAACACGCTTTTCATCTAAATCCCACACTCGCCATGCACGCTCGTTCGCCGCAATTCCCAAGTAGATCGCCGCACGAGCTTTCGGTTGCAACTTGTGGCGAAGTGGATCCGGTACATGGTAGTAGCAAAGGCACCCAAAGGTGCGTAGGCGGTATAGGTTTGGCTTCGTTCCAGTCCATGCTTCGAATGGAGTCGTTCCCGGTAGCACCTTTGTTGGCACACTATTACGAATCCATGCCGCTAGCGCACTCGCCTCTCCCCACCACTCGTTCCCAAGCTTGGAGTGTTGAAGTAGCGAACGAACGGCTTCCACCAACGTGCGATTAAGCCGCTCCGCCGCTCCATTTTGTTGGGGTGTGTAGGGTGTTGTGACGTCGTGCTTAATGCCCTTGCTCTTCATCCATTTGTCAAGCTCGTTGTTCACGAATTTGCCACCACCGTCCGTGCGAATAACCTTGATCAGCTTCTTGTTGTCGTCGCAAACATCGAGCGCCCACTCTTGAATCGCCTTGGCCGCATCTCCTTCAGCCTTCAAGAGCCGGGTCCAACACATCCGCGTCGCGTCGTCGAGCATCACCAAGAGGAACCGCGCTCCTCCTTTTGATGCATGCCGCATCGGTCCACACACGTCCATGTGAACAAGCGCAAGCGGGTCCTTAGCGAGGGGTGAGGTACGGCTACCAAATGGCTTGCGAGCCATTTTTCCTTCGACACACGCCGCGCACACGCCATTCTCGTCGTCGCCGGCGACCACGTCGACTCCCTTCGCAAGTCCTTTGTTGGCCAACTCCTTGACCGACTCGTAGTTGGCGTGCGCAAGCCGATTATGCCACGCCTTAAGAGTCGCCTTGGAGCCTTGCGCCACGTTGGATGAAGCCGCTCTCGGGTACGTCTTGAGATGGTAGATATCTCCGTTGAGAACACCTTGCGCGAATTGCTCCCCCTTCCAAAAGAGGTTCATTGTCGCAACGTCGATGATGGTGATCACGTCCTTCTTCGCAAGTTGCGGGACGGATAGAAGGTTCACCTTCACCCCCGGGACGTGAAACACGTTCGTCACGTCCACCGGACCGCTGTCGACGATAAGGCGCGTACTGCCAACTCCGACCACTGGTAGCAATTCGTTGTTTCCGAACACGATGCTCGTAACGTCTCCCGGAGCGCCAATGTTGTTGAGGAGCGACGCCGAGTGCGTCATGTGTTGCATTGCGCCGGTATCGAGGAACCACGCGTCGCTTGGAGTTTTGTTCCCGTTGCCGGCCACTAACATGAGCGACTCCTTTGAATCATCGGCCTCGCCGGATGCCGTGTGAACGTTTCCCTCTTCGTCCCGCACCTTCGATGGAGTCCAATCGCTCGACCGCTTCCGACACTCCCGCCAAAAGTGTCCCGGTTTGCGGCAATAGTGACACTTGCCGCGATGCTCGCTCCCACCGGACGATTCCTTCGTTGAACCCTTGTTCCACTTGGTCTTCTTTCCGGAACTCCTTTCGGAGAACATGGCGGTCCCCTCCCTCTCATTCGCGAATTGTCGGCGACGTGACTCCTCATGGAGAAGCCGACCGACCACCATTTCCTTCGTCCAAGTGCTTTGTACGCTATCGAGCGTCGTAATCACCGTCGACTACTCTTCCGGAAGGCCGCAAAGCAAGGTGAGAATCCAATCCTCCTCCGTGACCGATCCACCGAGATCTATGAGCGTTTCCCCGAGTTCCTCCACACGAGTCGCATACTCGTGCATCGATTCGCCCGCGCGTAACTTCACCGTGTAGAACGCATTTTGGGCTAGGATCTTGCCGTGGAGAGTCTTGTTCACGTGCATCGTCTCGAGCCGCTTCCATGCTTCACGCGCCGACGCTTCGAGCTTGATGCACGTGCGCACCGAACTCACGAGGTTGATGCCGATGCGAGAAATCAACGTTGCAAACGTCTTTTGGTCCTTCTTCTTCCATGCCGCGATCTCGTCCTCGTTGACCGGCTTTTTCTCCGTTCCGTCGAAGAGACCCCAAAGTCCCCGCTCCATCATGAGCACTTGGAACTTCAATTTCCACGCGGAGTAGTTTTGTCCCGTGAAAATCGGAACCGCCGACGTGCCGAACACCGTCGAGTTTGTCCAGGGTTCGCCGGGATTCGAGACGACACCACCTAAGGAAGTGCCAGAGGTTTCGCTTGACGTCATCATGCTTGCTACAAATCGCGCGCGTAGACTCCTCCGACCAGCTCTGATACCACTGTTGTAGAGGACTCTCCTCTACTTTGCAGGAACAGGGAATTGTTCTAAGCAGTAGAGCACTCTGCTAGCTTTCCAACGAGCCGTAGATCACCTCGTTCGCCTAAGTATCGAGCGAGATATCGCCGTTTATGTGCTAGGTAGTGCTCTTAGAAGCAATGATAGACCTCTCTGGAATTTTGGTTCGAATGTACCTTGTATAAAGAACTCTGAGTTTCACTATAAAACATGCATACAAGACAAGTCGATTTATAGCAAATGCATTACATCGAACCGCACATGTAACATCGCATCGCTACACTCGCGTCGCGAATGCGCCGCGTGTAACATTTCGGTTGGGGTGAAATTCGGCCACCGAATTTCACACCGAACACACCGAATTCGCCTTGCACTTGAAGGTTGGAATGTGGTGCCGCCACGTGGCACCGAATTGTGAGTCTTCCGAAGTCAATCGGTGCAACCCCACCGATCCCTAGTCAAAGGGATCGAAGGCACCGAAGTGCCCTCGGTGGGTTGGGGGCATACAACCGCCCCACCGCCGAACTCCCTCCAACACTCACTACCACATCCTCAGCGCATATGGAACTTGCAGCAATCTAGGACCCGCATGATTGTGGAACAGGTTTTTGGGAGGATAAAGGGAAAGTGGCGTCTAGTGGACGGCCGTATGGAGAGTCACATGGGGCGGGTTGTGATGACTGTCGGCGCCGTGGTCGCCATCCACAACCTTGAGCTAACCCTTGGCTCCCGTCCACGTCTTGTTGCGCCACGTGTGCGCAACCGTTGGTGGCTTTCGGGGCCAACGGCGAATGCACCCCATTACGGCCCGAGTACCCCTGGTTTTACTCCGACTCGTCGGAGGAGTCGCCTGACGGGGTACCTCTACGCCTCTTGGAGGCTCGGCCACCCGGAGCTGCCCGCGCCAACTCTCGGGTAAGTCGCTTGAACTCCTCCCATTGTTCCGCCATGACGCCCTTAACAGTTGTAGCCATTCTCTCTACCATCTCGTCGATCATTCCGTGACGCTCGCGAACATTATGACGTTGCATTCCATATTCACGCGGTCCGTTGTCATCTTCCTTGTGCGCAGGCGACGGCCCAGGCCCGCGGATGACACGACGTCCACGCAGCGAAACACCCGTAGTCGCCCCAACAACGGGTGATTCGTCTAAACCAGGCGGCTTCTTTGCCGAAGGTGCATTTGGGAGCACGGGTGGGGCCGGTCCTGCAGTCGGGACTGGTGAACGACAGAGTTTTGCAGGGACATCTAAGATGCTATCGTGAATGGGCTAACTGCTTTTCATTGTCAAGGGCTAACTGTTTTTTAACGTGAATGCATGTGTTCTTGGAAATGAATGTCCTGCACAACTCACCTTCCAGCTTGATGGTAGTAGTAGTTGCTGCTCGAGATGAACCTTCCCTGGCTTCAAAGTTATGTCAGTAGATCTGCACTGTGGATGCCCGATTGATCCTGGAGAGGGTTACAGGCGCGTTCGCCTGGGGGGTTATGGGCGCACTGACCCGCTACTGAAATAAGCCCTTTTATCCCAATGGTCTAGTGGTTGGGATTCTGACAAGTTATTGGTGGCGGTTCGGTTGCCGAGAGAGAGAGGCTGTGAAGCTGGCAGCGTTGTACCTCCTGGACAGAACAGGTGTAGGAACAATTACAGCTATGAGCTAGTAGTCGTGGCATACATGTGCCTAACTGGAAACATTCACAGCACTCACGAGAAATAGTAGTCGGCGCTCCCGCTGCATGTGCCGGATTTGCCGCATCTCCAGGTGCCTGTGTGCTGGCCGCCAGAACACGAGGGTGAGCATTCTCACGCTCCCCGAATACGACATCGAATAGCTCGTACTAAGAGGGAAGCTTAGGTGGACGACCGTTCCCGCTGCGGTTTATAATGTTGTCGCGTATGTTGCGGTAACGGCGCTCCATACGCAACAACTTCGCTTTAATCGCTGCGATGCCATGCCGCCACCCGGGATGCCTGCGTACCATATCTTCGGAGATGGTTGTATAAATGTTCTGTTCTTGCAGGCGTTGCTGCGCCTGCACTTGCGTGTGGAGGTCGTGACGGACCACAGCTACCTAAAACTCCTCCGTCGCGTTCCAGCGCGCAGCAGCGGACACGTTGCGAGTCTGTCTACGAGTGGAAGGACGTGCAGCTGTGTTGTCGTCGCCATCATCCTCTGACGCGACGGCGTCATCATCGGCGTCATCCTCAACATCACCATCGTCTGCCGCACCGAACGCAACATCAGCGTCAGTCAAAGCGGCGTTGAACGCCGGTCCACGCGTTGGTAGAGGATCTAGAATTATGATGGTGGGGCCCTGGTCGACGTCAGACTGATTGTTGGGGCGTGGCTGCCGTTCCCCGCCAGAGGAGTTGTTGTCCATGTCGTCAAGATCTATCGGGGTGGTAATTGTGAGACAAGTGTCATTCATGTTTGTGACTGCTGTTTTGTGGTTGGGCTTGGCTTCATCGCTAGTGCTGGTTTGCAATATTGCGTAGGTTGCCCCGTATCGGCTCAACCAACCAAATTCAAGTTATTGATTTTCCCGCCAAGGCGACAGCACATCGCGTGGTTCGCAGAGTCGCAAATGTTGGAGCTCGAGCCGCGTCAGCGAGAATGTTCGATTCCGTGCATTCGTGGGATGTTCGAACTCCACTCAATTTGGCGGGAGGGAGCAATTCGAACGCGTCAGAGTACAAAAATGTAAACTGAGTCAGTCAGGTCTCGCTAAGTAATTTCACGACATTAGCGAAGGCGGGTAACCAGCCAAGTTCGCACCGGTTCGAGCTTTAGTTGACACGCCCTTAGGACGCGTCAACTCCGGCAAAATTTGGCGATCGATCCTGCGAAGGGTCGATTTTTGACTGGGTTAAAAGTTGCAATTGCGGAATTTTAGTGCGGTTGACAATCTATATTGTACGAACGATTGCTGTTTTGCAAGAGTTGACGCGTCCTAACAGGATGTTCCCAAGGTGCGGCTTGTAGCTCCTTTAAAAGGAGGAAGCGAGATAGATGAATCCTAGCATGTATCGACTCCACTGGGGATCGAACCCAGAATCTCTGGTTCCGTAGACCAGCGCCTTATCCATTGGGCCATGGAGTCATGTCACGACAACATAAAAAAATTTGTCACAATGTATATTAAAGGCTGCACTTCCAGTATCAGTCTTCCACAACCATCACGCGCCACCATGAGCAGCAGCAGCGCCGTCACGTCGCTCCGGCTCTCACTCACCCACCCGCACCTTCTGCAGCCTCGGTGTGGGTCTGAGGGACGTCAATCATGCACCAACCCGCGAGCATCGCTGACATGTCATCAACCCTATCCTCGCGATGTCACGCGTCGTAACCTTCCTGTCGTTGACTGGAGACGCGTCGCGGGCGGCGTTGCTTGCGCGCTTCGTAGCTCAGATAGTGGAACAGGGTCAAAGCCGAAATTCGCGCAGCTTTGCCTTCCTCAATCCCAGAATAGAGTATCCCAGTCCCATGGGTTACATCTCGCCTGCACGTTCAACGGACGTCACGTTCCCAGAGCAACTGAACGCTCCCTGGGAGCAAATGGAGGGAAATTCAAATTCGGGTCAGATGAACGTTTTTCCTCCTGGTCGGGACTAGCTGCGCCAGGAAGGTTCGCCACTGTTTCGGCCGAGCCGGTATCTGAGAGTAAGGCGAGTAGAGCAGCGCGTGGAACTGTGCGGTGTAGATCCGGCGCGGATAATAACGAGACGGAGAATGACTCTAGCGCGGACGGGGAAGCCGGGTTGGCGGAGGCGGAGGGGGAGAAGGCTTGGTGGGCGCAAGGGTGGGACGTGCCGTGGGGGTGGCGGGAGACAGGCATCGGAATGAGCGCGTGGATCTCCAGGTATGTACTTATAACGAGTGTTGCATATAACGGGGATAAATGAAGGCTTGGTGGGCGCAAGGGTGGGACATGCTTTGGGGATGGCGGGATTCAGGCATCTGAATGAGCGCGTGGATCTCGAGGTATGTGCTTATAACGAGTGTTGCTTATAACAGGGAGAGGAGCAGTGTGCGTGCAAGTGTGGGACGTGCCGTGGGGATGGAGGGAGACGGGCATCGAAATGAGCGCGTGGATCTCGAGGTGTGTACTTATAGTGAATGCTGTTGATAAGGAGGATAGTGGTGTGCTCAACACTTCCGCCGCACCCCCTTCTTCTTCCACCCGTCTTCCCCGCTCCCCAACCCCTCATGTCTTTTCCCAGCTTCATATTTGAGGGCATAGGGGTGACTTTTGAGTCGAGTCAAAAGTCACCTCTTCCCCCCTCCCCAACCCCTCATGTCTTTTCCCAGCTTCATATTTGAGGGCATAGCCATGCAGAACGCCTGTCTCAAGCTTGGCTGGGCCCCCTGGAGGGGCACGGATCTCGGTCACATTCCCACCCCACCCCACCCAATCCCACTCCACCAATCTTCCCCCCCCCTCCCTCCTCCCCAGCTTTATCTTTGTGGGCATAGCCGTGCAGCTGGCGTGTCTCAAGCTCGGGTGGGCGCCCTGGAGGGGCACAGATCTCAACGACGAGGCGCTCTTTCTGCTCATCAACCATTCGTGTGTGCTTGTCCCCGATCTCCTCCCTTCCTCCGCCCTCCCACCCCCCCCCAGCTTCATATTTGTGGGAATAGCCGTGCAGCTCGCCTGCCTCAAGCTCGGGTGGGCGCCCTGGAGGGGCACAGACCTCAACGACTGAGGCGCTCTTTCGCTCATCAACCAGTCGGCTGTGTGTGTGCGCATATCCCCCCTTTCCACCCTTCCTTCCTTCCTTGGCCCTCCCCACCGCACTTCCAGCTTCATATTCGTGGGCATAGCCGTGCAGTTAACTTGCCTCAAGCTCGGGTGGGCGCCCTGGAGGGGCACGGATCTCAATGACGAGGCGCTCTTTCTGCTCATCAACCAGTCGGTGCGAACGGCATCAGGGATAGCCATCGTGTGGTTTGTCGCGCGCCCCTTCAACCCACTCTCCACCGACCTTTTCCATTGGGGTAGGTCCATTCGGGGAAAGATAGGTAGGTAGGTGCCTTTTGGGGTAGGTAGGTAGCTAGGTAGGTGCCTTCTGGGGTAGGTAGGTAGCTAGGTAGGTGCCTTCTTGAGTAGGTAGGTGCCTTCTTGAGTAGGTAGGCGCGTTCTGGGTTGCTCTTTCTGCTCATCAACCAGTCGGTGCGAATGGCATCAGGAATCGCCATTGTCTGGCTTGTCGCCCGCCACTTCCAACCACTCTCCACCGACCCCTTCCACTGGGGTAGGTCCCTTCGGTTCGGGAAAGGTAAGTAGGTGTTAGAAATAGTCAGTCAACACTTTGTACTATATTCTATATCGGTTAGGTTACTTTGTAGGTTGGGTGTAGATTTGTAATCCCAACCCTATCTGGTTGGGATTCCCTCGTAATCCTGCAAATCTGCCAACTCACCAATTGGAGATTTGCTAGGATTCCCATCCCATCCTTTCTCTAGCTTTGCTCAACCCAACCCTGTTTGTACTTAAGGCCTAGTGCCTTCCTTATCAAGTAATCAGTTCAGTTCCAATTCTATCATGGTATCGAGCTAGTAAATTCCGCTCACGCGGAATCCGATCCTTGGCGTCCCGATGGTTCTCTCCTTCTAGGCTATGCCTATTTCGGTTCCCGGCTCCTACGCTTAGCGTTTTTCAGAAACTTCACATCGTCGCTCCGGTCAAGCGCGCATTCGGCTTCCTTCATCGCGCATCTCGTTTTTCAACGGCGACATTCTCAGCCTTCGACTTCCTTCATCGTAAGCTTCTGGTGTTTATATCTCCGTGGCAATTTTTCGCATCTTCTTAACTTCGAACAGGTTTTCAGCGGCGCAGCAGAACAGGTCCAGCGGCGCAGCGGAACAGGTTCAGCGGTGCAGCAGAACAGGTTCAGCGGCGCAGCAGAACAGGTTCAGCGGCGCAGCAGAACAGTTTCAGCGGCGCAGCAGAACAGGTCAGCGGCGCAGCAGAGAAGCAGAACAGGTCAGCGGCGCAGCAGAACAGGTCAGCGGCGCAGCAGAGAAGCGGAACAGGGGCAGCAGCGAAGCAGATCAGGGGGCATCGGCGAAGCAGTATAACAGGGTATATTACGGGCATTCTATTGACAAAATCGCGTTTCGGACTTCCTCAATTTCCGCTACGTATCGGAGACTTTAGTGCTGCGCTCCGCGCGTAATGGCAACTTCAACTTCCACTCTCGTCAGAAACCTCATCATCCTTAACCTCGGTCCCAACGGCACGAGCACCAATTTCGGGGAGTGGTGCTATGGAGTGGAGAAGCACCTCCTTAGCTCGTAGCTCAAGGGGATTTGCCTCAAGGACATCCTCCTCAACCGCGGCAAGGGGAAGATGCCTCTCCCTCCCGATCCTCTCGGCGAAGGCGCTGCTGCCACAGCCAAGCTTGCTTTCGACGCTAAGACCACCAAGTATGAGACGGACTTCAGTCTTTGGGAGCAGGCGGATGCAGCAGTGGTTAGGGTGTTCATCACCACCACCCCAGTTGAGTTAGTCAAGTCCTACCGCACCTTCCGCTCTGCGCATGACATTTGGAAGTACCTCTAGGATCGTTTTCATGACAAAACTGCAGTGGGAGTTGCAATCCTCATTCCGCGCATGTTCCAAGTCCGCCTTGATGAATGCCCGGGCATGGCAGACTACATCTCTGAAATCCGCAACATCCATGAGGAGCTCAAGGTCATTGGGATCACCTTCCCCGAACAGGCACCTGCTGCTGGGCTACTCGTCGGACTCACCCCGGCCCGGCCTACAACGTCACCAGTTCCATGCTCAAGCAGCTCCCCACCAAGGAACTCACCTTTGAGAAAGTCGCTTCGGCCCTTCTCTCCGCCGAATAGGACCTTGCAGCCCAGGCATCCGTCAATGCTGTGCGCTACTCCCCTGGCATCCCATTTCGTTCCCAGCAGGGCCAGAGGCGCAAATCCTTTCCCCCATGCCAGTACCTCATTAGGAAGGGTCCACGTGCGGGGCAGAAATGCAATGGCACCAACCACCCTGAGGCAACTTGCTTCAAGAAGCGAGATGACGAGTGGTATGACGTCCACGGTGTCTCCAAGGACAAGCGCCCTCCCAACTGGGCACCACCCCGTCGCGTGAACCGGGTCGAGGTAGTGGAGGAACCTGCCCAGGCATTTGCTAGTGCCCCATCTGATGTTCGCCTTAACCTGTTGTTCTCTGGTGCTGGTCTTATTAATGAGAAGGGGTCGCAGTACATCGGTGTTTCAACCACACAGGGAATCGAGTTCATACTAGACAGTGGTGCCACCCACACAGTGCTTAAAGACCAAAGTGCTTTCGTTCCCTCCAGGCTCCCACCTCACTCCTTGGAGCCGATTCTAGCTTCTCCATGCAATGCCATGGGTCTTCCACAGTCTCCTGTCCAGCTTTCCCATCCGGCACAGTCACTGGCATATGTGCCCCCACCCTCCGCTACAACCTTCTTGCACAGCGGGAAATCCAACACGCAGGCGTGATCACCATCTTTCCCAATGATGTTGACTACTGTGACATGTTTGACGCCAAGACCGGACATCCATCTTGCCCGCTTCACCCTCAACTCCAACAACCTGTACACACTAGTTGTACCTCCTGTTCAAACATGCTCCCTCACCAACCTTCCGCTTCCATCCTCAGACTCCCCCTCATGTCACTGCCGCCTCGCCTCCTCACTGACAAGACTATGCTATTTCATAACCGCCTCGGCCACATCAACTTCCGCGCACTTTCAGACCTTGCCACCAAACAACTCCTTCATGGGCTGCCCGCCTCACTTCCACAACCCCCCTCTCTTTCTGGATCGCCTTGCCTTGACTGTGCACTGAGCAAGCTTCGGGAACAGCCCCATCTCCCCACTGAGTCCATCTCTAGAGCACCTCTCGATCGCGTACACATGGACCTTTGGGGTCCAGCTCTTGTTCGTTCCCGTGGCGGACACTTCTACTTCCTTGTTATCGTTGATGACTATTCCCGCTATGTGTCAGTTCACCTTCTCATCGCCAAGTCTAAAGCCCCAGCCATCATCATGGAATGGGCCAGGCAGGCTCATTCACACTTCAAAACCAAAATCAAGATTCTTCACTCTGACGGTGGTGGTGAATTCCGCAACAACACTTTCAAAGCTTTCTGCTCAACTGAGGGTATTCGTCAGACCTTCACTCTCCCAGACAGCCGTCAACAGAACGGTGTTGCTGAGAGCCGAAACCGCATCCTGGTGCAGATTGCTCGCTGCCTCCTCACTCATGCTTCCGCCCCTCCCTCTCTTTGGGGATATGTCATGCTCCATGCTGCCGCCCTCCACAATCTCCATCCTCATCCTCACCACACCCACACCACCCCCGCAGAGCTGTGGACGGGTCAAAAGCCGCCCGTCCGCCCTCTTCGTGTATGGGGGTGCACTTCCTATGTCCTCCTCAACTCCCAAGCCCGTCGCGCAGTTGGCGGCAAGCTTGCTCCGAAAACAATCACGTGCGTGTACCTCGGGCACAACTCGGACTCGCCAGACTACCTCTTCCTCCATTCTCCCACCAACAAACTCTATTGCAGCCGAGATGTTTTCTTCGATTAATCCCACCCATTCTACCCCTCCTCCATAGTTTCTCCTTCTCCTCCGCCTCCCTCTCTTACTTGGGCTGACTTTGACAGCCTTCCTCCTGCCACCACTCCATCTCCTCCTCTTCCCGCTCCCTCCACAGTTTCCGACCCCCCGTCACCCGCTTCCCCATCCAGCACCACGCAGTCTCCCCCGCTCCAACCCGCCCCCGAGCCGATTCCTCTCAAAACCTACCAACGCCGTCCTCCTGCTGCTGCTCCTCCTCCTGCTCCAACTCCTGCTCCTGATCTGGCTCCTGCTCCTGATCTGGCTCCTGCTCCTGATCCAGCTGCTGTTCCTGATGCTGCCACTCCACCTGCTGCTTCCCCTCCTCCAGCTCCGCCTCCCTCCCCCATCGCTGGTCGCACCCGCTCGCGCAAAGCTTCCAAGCCTCTTTCCCTTTCCATTCGTGTCTCTCTCAATCCTCCTCCTGTCGGGGGTGATTATTCGCTCATGCCCTCCCTTTTTGAGGACAGACATGAGGAGTTGATTGAGATTGACTCAGCCATACACGCACTCTGCTCCCTCTTTCCAGATATCGCAGAATCTCCCACCCTCAACTTCTCGGACAACCCCTCCATCCCCACACCTCTCACCTATGCTGAAGCAATTTTTGGTCCTCACACCGCTCAGTGGCTAAGGGCCATTGTCGCGGAGTGTGAGGCCTTCATTCACACAGGAACTTTCACAGATGTCTTTGCTCCCTCCGGCGTCAACATTGTGAAGGGAAAATGAGTTTTCCGGGTGAAACAACTTCCAGGCGAGTTTCCCGTCTTCAAAGCCCGGTACTGTGCCAAGGGTTTTACCCAAAAGCATGGACTGGACTTCTTTGAGACATTCTCTCCCACCGCCAAACCTCCCACACTGCGCACCCTTCTCGATGTTGCCGCTCGAGATGACATGGAGGTTGACTGCATGGATGTGTCCTCTGCGTTTCTGCAAGGGATCCTTCGAGAGGAAATTTACATGGAGCGGCCCGAAGGATTTCCAGCTCCCTTTCCACCAGGCACAGTATGGAAGCTGAATCGACCAGTCTATGGCCTCAAGCAAGCACCCCGGGAATGGCACAACAAGCTCAAGAGCACCTTAGGGTTCCTCGACTTTCACCCATCCACCTCTGACCCCAGCCTCTTCATCCGAGCAACATCATCCCGCTTCTTCATCTTGGTTTATGTCGATGACATGATCCTTGTCACCAAGGATCAGACTGAGCTGGCAGCAGTCAAAACCGCACTTGGTGAGAAGCTGACCATGAAGGATCTTGGGAAGCTGACGAACTATCTGGGCATGGAAATCACACGTGATCGCGCGGCCCGCACCATCACCCTCTCGCAGAATTTCTACATCAACAATGTTCTGACCAGGTTCAAGATGCAGGAAGCAGCTTCAATGCCCACCCCACTCTCTCTGCAGCACCAACTCACTGCACCCTCTGTTCCCTCACCTGAGCCTTGTGATGAGGCTTACCCCGAGCTCGTCGGTTCCCTCATGTACGCGATGATGTGCACTCGACCAGACTTGGCCTATCCAGTCAGTGTCCTGTCTCGCTACGTTGCACCTGGTCGCTTCACGAGCCACCACTGGTCTGCCGCCAAGCGGGTCCTCCGCTATCTCAAAGGCACACAAGACTATGTGCTCACTCTTGGCGGCTCTTCCCCTGTTCGCCTTGAGGGGTACAGTGACTCGTCCTATGCTGATGACCAGAGTGATCGGCGCTCTTCCCAAGGGTATTGCTTTACCCTTGGCAGTGGGGTTGTCAGTTGGCGCTCCACTCGGTCGTCTTCCGTCTCACTCTCGACCTGTGAGGCAGAGCTGTATGCCGGGACCATGGCTGCCCAAGAGGCCCATTGGCTCTCCTTCTTGCTGGCAGAACTTGGGTATCCTCAACCAGCCCCAACGCTTTGGTGTGACAACGAGAGCACCATTCATCTCACAAAAGACCCTGTCTTCCACGGCCGCACCAAGCACATTGAGGTCCGTCACTACTTTCTTCGTGAGCTGGTGCAGCGCGAGCAGCTGAAGGCTGAACACATTGCCTCCGACTGCAACCTTGCTGACTTGTTTACCAAGTCTCTTGTTCGCCAAGACCACTACCGCCTCCTCTCGTCCATAGGTGTTGGGCCGCCATGTGGCTGAAGTGTTGTCAGTCTAGGGGGTGTGTTAGAAATAGTCAGTCAACACTTTGTACTATATTCTATATCGGCTAGGTTACTTTGTAGGTTGGGTGTAGATTTGTAATCCCAACCCTATCTGGTTGGGATTCCCTCGTAATCCTGCAAATCTGCCAACTCACCAATTGGAGATTTGCTAGGATTCCCATCCCATCCTTTCTCTAGCTTTGCTCAACCCAACCCTGTTTGTACTTAAGGCCTAGTGCCTTCCTTATCAAGTAATCAGTTCAGTTCCAATTCTATCAGTAGGTACTAGGTAGGCGCCTTCTGGGGCAGGTGCCTCTTGGGTTGCTCTTTCTGCTCATCAACCAGTCGGTGCGAACGGCATCAGGCATAGCCATTGTCTGGCTTGTCGCCCGCCACTTCCAACCACTCTCCACCGACCTTTTCCACTGGGGTAGGTCCCTTCGGTTCGGGAAAGGTAAGTAGGTACTAGGTAAGCGCCTTCTGGGGCAGGTGCCTCCTGGGTTGCTCTTTCTGCTCATCAACCAGTCGGTGCGAACGGCATCAGGCATAGCCATCGTGTGGCTCGTCGCCCGCCCCTTCAAACCACTCTCTACCGACCTTTTCCACTGGGGTAGGCGTTTTATGGGGGTAGGTGCCTTCTTGATAGGTAGTAGGTGCCCTCTGGGGTAGGCGCCTTCTGGGGTAGGTGTCTTCTGGAGTACTCTTTCTTTCCTCGAATCCTTTTCTCCCTTCCATTTGCATCATCGGATCAAAGATGGTTGTCCTGGGCTTGTAGTACGGCATCTTGATTGGCCGTTTTGTTGGTGTTTTTAGTGCGACTTGTCAAAAATAGACAGGTGGGCTGCAAAGGCCTTTCGCAGCCTACCTGCCTATTTTAGACATGTAGGGCATCTTGATCGACCGTTTGAATGCTTCTTTTCCATGATCAGCCATCTTCATCCTTTCACTCCGCTCCTCCCCTTCTCTTTTCGACCTGTTCAGGTTTCGAGGACCCATTCAGTTGTCGCAAGGGGTGGTTGTCATGGGCCGGCGTGGGCGTCTTGACTGCTGGGCTCGTAGTTTTCGCCACTGCCACCGCCACAACGGCACTATCAGGAGGGATTGACCCGCCTAGAGAGGTACTGCCGTGGCGCTGTTGACTTCTGTTGAGTTGTGTTGACTTTTATTGACTTTTGCCTGCTTTGTATCGGCTGTCCTGGGCGCGTGTGGACGACTTGACTGCTGGGCTCGTAGTTTTCGCCACTGCCACTGCCACCACAGCGCTTTAAGGGGGAATGGACGCGCCCAGAGAGGTACTGGATTTGACTTCCATTGACTTCTGTTGAGTCTGTTTCTCCTGAATTACTTGTCTTGGGTTGGTGTTATTTGTCTTCACTCTTGACAGCTGGGCTTTGGGGATTGGTGCACCCAGAAAGGTATTGCTGTTGACTTTCATTGACTTTTTTTGAATTGCTTGTTGGTTTTGTGTTGACTCAAAAACAACAGGGAGAGAATGGAGAGGTGGTGAGAACGGCTTGGCGACATTAACACCAGCTTGGAGGATAAGGCGAATTGGGGTTTTTTGGAGACGCTTCTAGAGTGCTTGCAGCCATTACAAACTACAGAGCTTGAAGCCACGCGTCGTGTACTGGCTGCAAGCACTCTCAGAAGCGTCTCTCAATAACCCCAATTTGCCCTTTCCTCCATGCTTGTGTTCGTGTCGCTAAGTTCGTCCCACGATCTCTCAATTCTCTCCCTGTTGTTAGCTGCTTTGACTCTTGGGTCTTGGACTGCTGGGCTCGTTAACTTTTGTTGACTCGTGTTGACTTCACCTGGTGACGTGCTACTGCTGTTGATTTTTGTTGACTCGTGTTGACTTCACCTGGTGACGTGCTACTGCCGTTGATTCTTGTTGACTCGTGTTGACCTCCCCCATCACCCATCTAGCCTAAGCTCAGCCTAGAAGAGATTAGGACAAGATACCTGTTGGATTAGGACGAGTCACCTGCTGGATCCAGGTCGAAACTTTATACGTATGCTTCTTGTTGATGTTTTCTTCCACCAGCAGTCGCACGCGCGCCCTCTGCTCCCTGTAGCTCCCCGCACTCACTGCTGCCAGGGCTTCTGAGATCAAACATTCCGAGCAGCATGCTGCCTGGGAGAGGGCCGGACCACCTTCGTACTGTGGTTATTCTGTTGCTTCCAGCAACGCTCACACACACTATGTCTCTTAACGTGAGGACGAGTCACCTGCTGGATCCAGGTCGAAACTTTATACGTATGCTTCTTGTTGACTCATGTTGACCTCCCCCATCACCCATCTTGCCTTCCCCCCACCCCCGCCACCAGGACGCAGATGCGTTGGTGCAAGTTCTGCCCATAATCACCGCCTCCCCTTTCAGCACCGGAGCTCTATTATTTGTTGCCAGTGTGCTCTTAATTCCCCTCTCTCCTCATCTCCTCACTCATCTCCCCATTTTCCCCTTTTTCTCCCGTGCCCTCCTCTCCCCATACCAGGACGCAGATGCGTTGGTGCAAGTGCTGCCCATAATCGCCGCCTCCCCCTTCAGCACCGGTGCGCTCATCTTCGTGGCCGGTGTGCTCGCCCCCATCCTCGAAGAAACCATCTTTCGAGCCTTCCTCCTCACTTCCCTGACAAAATGGTAGGTCATGCCATGCCATGCCATGCCATGCCATGCCATGCCGTGCCGTGCCGTGCTGTGCACTAGGATGGAGGTAGGTCACTTCCTCGTATTTCCTTTTAGCACTGGCGCCGGTCACTTCCTCGTATTTCCTTTCATCTTCGTCGCTGGTGTGCTCGCCCCATCCTTGAAGAGACTATTTTCCGAGCCTTCCTGCTCACATCCTTGACCAAGTGGTGAGTCGTGGCAAGTGGGTATGCCATTTATATGTGCCAGAGGGTAGGGCAGAGCGTAACCTTCCTCTATAGGTTCGCTCATATTCTTTGCCTCTCGCCTTCGTCGCCGGTGTGCTCGCTCCCATCCTCGGGGACACCATCTTCCGGGCCTTCCTGCTCACGTCCCTAACCAAATGGTGAGCTAGTTGCTCACTAGCTTCCTTAATGTGAGGTCGGTCTTTGCTGCTGCCCACATGACCCTCCCCTAGCTGTTTCTCCTCCCCTCACCCAATCTCTCCCTTCTTTTCCCCCCTTGGTAATACTGCATTCCACCAGGATGCTTGTACCTCTTGAAGTGGCAGGGAGCGTGCATTCCACCAGGACGCCAGTACCTCTTGCCACATGACTCCCAACGAGTTCCGTGCATTCCACCAGGACGCCAGTACCTCTTGCCACATGACTCCCAACGAGTTCCGTGCATTCCACCAGGACGCCAGTACCTCTTGCCACATGACTCCCAACGAGTTCCGTGCCTCTGGCAGTCGCAGGCACTGCCTACACATGATTGAGGCGTCTCATATCTCTCAGCCCGATCTTTTCCCTGTTTCCCACCACCCTGTTTCCCACCACCCTGTTTCCCACCACCCTGTTTCCCACCACCCTGTTTCCCACCACCCTGTTTCCCACCACCCTGTTTCCCACCACCCTGTTTCCCACCACCCTGTTTTTCTCCCTCATTCCATCAGGATGCCTGTTCTTCTGGCGGTGGCAGGTAGTGCGTGTGCCTTTGCTGCTGCCCACATGACTCCCAACAGGCTCCCTGTCTCCTCCTGCCCTCTTCCCTGTTTTTCTCCCTCATTCCATCAGGATGCCTGTTCCTCTGGCGGTGGCAGGTAGTGCGTGTGCCTTTGCTGCTGCCCACATGACTCCCAACGAGTTTCCCAAGCTCGCTGCTCTTGGTATGTTTGCTGAATGGTGATGACACAATCTATAAGGTGGGACAGGAAGAGAAGAGAGAGAGAACTGCGGCCCACATGATCCCAACGTCTCGCTGCTCTTGGTATGTTTGCTGAATCACTTTGTTTGAGATTGATTTTGAGAATTCTCAAAATCAATCTCAAACAACGTTTTCATCACATAATCCTCACTGTTCGGCCATGTTCAATCTGGGGGGTCTAGCTGTAGGTATGTGCACCTGTCCCAATGAGTCTTGACGACAGTTGCACGTGGCTATGGACTGGAATCAAATCGAAGATGGCTCAGCGGTGTAATTTTGAGGCGCCTATTTTGAGGCGCCTACTTTGAGGCGCCTATTTTGAGGCGCCTACTTTGAGGCGCCTATTTTGAGGCGCCTACTTTGAGGCTCCTAATTTGAGGCGCCTACTTTGAGGCGCCTATTTTGAGGTGCCTATTTTTGAGGCGCCTCAAAAGTTTTGAAGACAACTGCACAGGGCTATGGATTGGAATCAAATTGAGTCTGGCTCAACAGTGAGGTTTGACTTTTGAGGCGCCTCAAAAGTCGTCTCATGTTTTGAGGCGCCTCAAAAGTAGTCTGGCTCAACAGTGAGGTTTGTGATATCAGTTTCAACACTTCGTCGGTACAATGCACCCTCCTAACAGGCTTACACTGTGGAACAGTGTTCAGAACAACGTAAAACCTCTCTCACATTTCTCTCACGCCTCTCACGTTACTAAGCTCTAAGTTCCTGCACTTGCTTGCAACCCCTCTCTCTATCCTCCCTCATTGCGTTGATGGTATAAGCCTTCACATATATCGGCACACACAACCTGCTCTCTATTCCTCCCTCATTGCGTTGATGGTATAAGCCTTCACATATATCGGCACACACAACCTGCTCTCTATTCCTCCCTCATTGCGTTGATGGTATAAGCCTTCACATATATCGGCACACACAACCTGCTCTCTATTCCTCCCTCATTGCGTTGATGGTATAAGCCTTCACATATATCGGCACACACAACCTGCTCTCTATTCCTCCCTCATTGCGTTGATGGTATAAGCCTTCACATATATCGGCACACACAACCTGCTCTCTATTCCTCCCTCATTGCGTTCATGGTATAAGCCTTCACATATATCGGCACACACAACCTGCTCTCTATTCCTCCCTCATTGCGTTGATGGTATAAGCCTTCACACATATCGGCACACACAACCTGCTCTCTATTCCTCCCTCATTGCGTTGATGGTATAAGCCTTCACATATATCGGCACACACAACCTGCTCTCTATTCCTCCCTCATTGCGTTGATGGTATAAGCCTTCACATATATCGGCACACACAACCTGCTCTCTATTCCTCCCTCATTGCGTTCATGGTATAAGCCTTCACTTATATCGGCACACACAACCTGCTCTCTATTCCTCCCTCGTTGCGTGCATGGTATAAGCCTTCACATATATCGGCACACACAACCTGCTCTCTATTCCTCCCTCATTGCGTTGATGGTATAAGCCTTCACACATATCGGCACACACAACCTGCTCTCTATTCCTCCCTCATTGCGTTGATGGTATAAGCCTTCACATATATCGGCACACACAACCTGCTCTCTATTCCTCCCTCGTTTCGTTGATGGTATAAGCCTTCACATATATCGGCACACACAACCTGCTCTCTATTCCTCCCTCATTGCGTTGATGGTATAAGCCTTCACACATATCGGCACACACAACCTGCTCTCTATTCCTCCCTCATTGCGTTGATGGTATAAGCCTTCACATATATCGGCACACACAACCTGCTCTCTATTCCTCCCTCATTGCGTTCATGGTATAAGCCTTCACATATATCGGCACACACAACCTGCTCTCTATTCCTCCCTCATTGAGTTCATGGTATAAGCCTTCACATATATCGGCACACACAACCTCCTCTCTATTCCTCCCTCATTGCGTTCATGGTATAAGCCTTCACATATATCGGCACACACAACCTGCTCTCTATTCCTCCCTCATTGCGTTGATGGTATAAGCCTTCGCATATATCAGCACACACAACCTGCTCTCTATTCCTCCCTCATTGCGTTGATGGTATAAGCCTTCACATATATCGGCACACACAACCTGCTCTCTATTCCTCCCTCGTTGCGTTCATGGTATAAGCCTTCACATATATCGGCACACACAACCTGCTCTCTATTCCTCCCTCATTGCGTTGATGGTATAAGCCTTCACATATATCGGCACACACAACCTGCTCTCTATTCCTCCCTCATTGCGTTCATGGTATAAGCCTTCACATATATCGGCACACATAACCTGCTCTCTATTCCTCCCTCATTGCGTTCATGGTATAAGCCTTCACATATATCGGCACACACAACCTGCTCTCTATTCCTCCCTCATTGCGTTCATGGTATAAGCCTTCACATATATCGGCACACACAACCTGCTCTCTATTCCTCCCTCATTGCGTTGATGGTATAAGCCTTCACATATATCGGCACACACAACCTGCTCTCTATTCCTCCCTTGTTGCGTTGATGGTATAAGCCTTCACATATTTCAGCACACACAACCTGCTCTCTATTCCTCCCTCATTGCGTTCATGGTATAAGCCTTCTCATATATCGGCACACACAACCTGCTCTCTATTCCTCCCTCATTGCGTTCATGGTATAAGCCTTCACATATATCGGCACACACAGCCTGCTCTCTATTCCTCCCTCATTGCGTTCACGGTATAAGCCTTCACATATATTGGCACACACAACCTGCTCTCTATTCCTCCCTCATTGCGTTGATGGTATAAGCCTTCACACATATCGGCACACACAACCTGCTCTCTATTCCTCCCTCATTGCGTTGATGGTATAAGCCTTCACACATATCGGCACACACAACCTGCTCTCTATTCCTCCCTCATTGCGTTCATGGTATAAGCCTTCACATATATCGGCACACACAACCTGCTCTCTATTCCTCCCTCATTGCGTTCATGGTATAAGCCTTCACATATATCGGCACACACAACCTGCTCTCTATTCCTCCCTCATTGCGTTGATGGTATAAGCCTTCACATATATCGGCACACACAACCTGCTCTCTATTCCTCCCTCGTTGCGTTGATGGTATAAGCCTTCACATATTTCAGCACACACAACCTGCTCTCTATTCCTCCCTCATTGCGTTCATGGTATAAGCCTTCACATATATCGGCACACACAACCTGCTCTCTATTCCTCCCTCATTGCGTTGATGGTATAAGCCTTCACACATATTGGCACACACAACCTGCTCTCTATTCCTCCCTCATTACGTTCATGGTATAAGCCTTCACACATATCGGCACACACAACCTGCTCTCTATTCCTCCCTCATTGCGTTCATGGTATAAGCCTTCACATATATCGGCACACACAACCTGCTCTCTATTCCTCCCTCATTGCGTTGATGGTATAAGCCTTCACATATATCGGCACACACAACCTGCTCTCTATTCCTCCCTCGTTGCGTTCATGGTATAAGCCTTCACATATTTCGGCACACACAACCTGCTCTCTATTCCTCCCTCGTTGCGTTGATGGTATAAGCCTTCACACATATCGGCACACACAACCTGCTCTCTATTCCTCCCTCATTGCGTTGATGGTATAAGCCTTCACATATACCGGCACACACAACCTGCTCTCTATTCCTCCCTCATTGCGTTCATGGTATAAGCCTTCACATATATCGGCACACACAACCTGCTCTCTATTCCTCCCTCGTTGCGTTCATGGTATAAGCCTTCACATATATCGGCACACACAACCTGCTCTCTATTCCTCCCTCATTGCGTTGATGGTATAAGCCTTCACACATATCGCCACACACAACCTGCTCTCTATTCCTCCCTCATTGCGTTGATGGTATAAGCCTTCACATATATCGGCACACACAACCTGCTCTCTATTCCTCCCTCATTGCGTTCATGGTATAAGCCTTCACATATATCGGCACACACAACCTGCTCTCTATTCCTCCCTCATTGCATTCATGGTATAAGCCTTCACATATATCGGCACACACAACCTGCTCTCTATTCCTCCCTCATTGCGTTGATGGTATAAGCCTTCACATATATCGGCACACACAACCTGCTCTCTATTCCTCCCTCATTGCGTTGATGGTATAAGCCTTCACACATATCGGCACATACAACCTGCTCTCTATTCCTCCCTCATTGCGTTCATGGTATAAACCTTCACATATATCGGCACACACAACCTGCTCTCTATTCCTCCCTCATTGCGTTGATGGTATAAGCCTTCACATATATCGGCACACACAACCTGCTCTCTATTCCTCCCTCATTGCGTTCATGGTATAAGCCTTCACATATATCGGCACACACAACCTGGTCTCTATTCCTCCCTCATTGCGTTCATGGTATAAGCCTTCACATATATCGGCACACACAACCTGCTCTCTATTCCTCCCTCATTGCGTTCATGGTATAAGCCTTCACATATATCGGCACACACAACCTGCTCTCTATTCCTCCCTCATTGCGTTGATGGTATAAGCCTTCACATATATCGGCACACACAACCTGCTCTCTATTCCTCCCTCATTGCGTTCATGGTATAAGCCTTCACATATATCGGCACACACAGCCTGCTCTCTATTCCTCCCTCATTGCGTTCACGGTATAAGCCTTCACATATATTGGCACACACAACCTGCTCTCTATTCCTCCCTCATTGCGTTGATGGTATAAGCCATCACACATATTGGCACACACAACCTGCTCTCTATTCCTCCCTCATTGCGTTGATGGTATAAGCCTTCACATATATCGGCACACACAACCTGCTCTCTATTCCTCCCTCATTGCGTTGATGGTATAAGCCTTCACATATATCGGCACACACAACCTGCTCTCTATTCCTCCCTCATTGCGTTGATGGTATAAGCCTTCACATATATCGGCACACACAACCTGCTCTCTATTCCTCCCTCATTGCGTTCATGGTATAAGCCTTCACATATATCGGCACACACAGCCTGCTCTCTATTCCTCCCTCATTGCGTTCACGGTATAAGCCTTCACATATATTGGCACACACAACCTGCTCTCTATTCCTCCCTCATTGCGTTGATGGTATAAGCCTTCACACATATTGGCACACACAACCTGCTCTCTATTCCTCCCTCATTGCGTTCATGGTATAAGCCTTCACACATATCGGCACACACAACCTGCTCTCTATTCCTCCCTCATTGCGTTGATGGTATAAGCCTTCACATATATCGGCACACACAACCTGCTCTCTATTCCTCCCTCGTTGCGTTCATGGTATAAGCCTTCACATCTATCGGCACACACAACCTGCTCTCTATTCCTCCCTCGTTGCGTTGATGGTATAAGCCTTCACACATATCGGCACACACAACCTGCTCTCTATTCCTCCCTCATTGCGTTGATGGTATAAGCCTTCACATATATCGGCACACACAACCTGCTCTCTATTCCTCCCTCATTGCGTTCATGGTATAAGCCTTCACATATATCGGCACACACAACCTGCTCTCTATTCCTCCCTCATTGTGTTGATGGTATAAGCCTTCGCATATATCAGCACACACAACCTGCTCTCTATTCCTCCCTCATTGCGTTGATGGTATAAGCCTTCACATATATCGGCACACACAACCTGCTCTCTATTCCTCCCTCGTTGCGTTCATGGTATAAGCCTTCACATATATCGGCACACACAACCTGCTCTCTATTCCTCCCTCATTGCGTTGATGGTATAAGCCTTCACATATATCGGCACACACAACCTGCTCTCTATTCCTCCCTCATTGCGTTGATGGTATAAGCCTTCACATATATCGGCACACACAACCTGCTCTCTATTCCTCCCTCATTGCGTTCATGGTATAAGCCTTCACATATATCGGCACACACAACCTGCTCTCTATTCCTCCCTCATTGCGTTCATGGTATAAGCCTTCACATATATCGGCACACACAACCTGCTCTCTATTCCTCCCTCATTGCGTTCATGGTATAAGCCTTCACATATATCGGCACACACAACCTGCTCTCTATTCCTCCCTCATTGCGTTGATGGTATAAGCCTTCACATATATCGGCACACACAACCTGCTCTCTATTCCTCCCTCGTTGCGTTGATGGTATAAGCCTTCACATATTTCAGCACACACAACCTGCTCTCTATTCCTCCCTCATTGCGTTCATGGTATAAGCCTTCACATATATCGGCACACACAACCTGCTCTCTATTCCTCCCTCATTGCGTTCATGGTATAAGCCTTCACATATATCGGCACACACAGCCTGCTCTCTATTCCTCCCTCATTGCGTTCACGGTATAAGCCTTCACATATATTGGCACACACAACCTGCTCTCTATTCCTCCCTCATTGCGTTGATGGTATAAGCCTTCACACATATCGGCACACACAACCTGCTCTCTATTCCTCCCTCATTGCGTTCATGGTATAAGCCTTCACACATATCGGCACACACAACCTGCTCTCTATTCCTCCCTCATTGCGTTCATGGTATAAGCCTTCACATATATCGGCACACACAACCTGCTCTCTATTCCTCCCTCGTTGCGTTCATGGTATAAGCCTTCACATCTATCGGCACACACAACCTGCTCTCTATTCCTCCCTCGTTGCGTTGATGGTATAAGCCTTCACACATATCGGCACACACAACCTGCTCTCTATTCCTCCCTCATTGCGTTGATGGTATAAGCCTTCACATATATCGGCACACACAACCTGCTCTCTATTCCTCCCTCATTGCGTTCATGGTATAAGCCTTCACATATATCGGCACACACAACCTGCTCTCTATTCGTCCCTCATTGCGTTGATGGTATAAGCCTTCGCATATATCAGCACACACAACCTGCTCTCTATTCCTCCCTCATTGCGTTGATGGTATAAGCCTTCACATATATCGGCACACACAACCTGCTCTCTATTCCTCCCTCGTTGCGTTCATGGTATAAGCCTTCACATATATCGGCACACACAACCTGCTCTCTATTCCTCCCTCATTGCGTTGATGGTATAAGCCTTCACATATATCGGCACACACAACCTGCTCTCTATTCCTCCCTCATTGCGTTCATGGTATAAGCCTTCACATATATCGGCACACACAACCTGCTCTCTATTCCTCCCTCATTGCGTTCATGGTATAAGCCTTCACATATATCGGCACACACAACCTGCTCTCTATTCCTCCCTCATTGCGTTCATGGTATAAGCCTTCACATATATCGGCACACACAGCCTGCTCTCTATTCCTCCCTCATTGCGTTCACGGTATAAGCCTTCACATATATTGGCACACACAACTTGCTCTCTATTCCTCCCTCATTGCGTTGATGGTATACGCCTTCACACATATTGGCACACACAACCTGCTCTCTATTCCTCCCTCATTGCGTTCATGGTATAAGCCTTCACACATATCGGCACACACAACCTGCTCTCTATTCCTCCCTCATTGCGTTGATGGTATAAGCCTTCACATATATCGGCACACACAACCTGCTCTCTATTCCTCCCTCGTTGCGTTCATGGTATAAGCCTTCACATATATCGGCACACACAACCTGCTCTCTATTCCTCCCTCTTTGCGTTCATGGTATAAGCCTTCACATCTATCGGCACACACAACCTGCTCTCTATTCCTCCCTCGTTGTGTTGATGGTATAAGCCTTCACACATATCGGCACACACAACCTGCTCTCTATTCCTCCCTCATTGCGTTCATGGTATAAGCCTTCACATATATCGGCACACACAACCTGCTCTCTATTCCTCCCTCATTGCGTTCATGGTATAAGCCTTCGCATATATCGGCACACACAACCTGCTCTCTATTCCTCCCTCATTGCGTTGATGGTATAAGCCTTCGCATATATCGGCACACACAACCTGCTTTCTATTCCTCCCTCATTGCGTTGATGGTATAAGCCTTCACATATATCGGCACACACAACCTGCTCTCTATTCCTCCCTCATTGCGTTCATGGTATAAGCCTTCACATACATCGGCACACACAACCTGCTCTCTATTCCTCCCTCATTGCGTTCATGGTATAAGCCTTCACATATATCGGCACACACAGCCTGCTCTCTATTCCTCCCTCATTGCGTTCATGGTATAAGCCTTCACATATATTGGCACACACAACCTGCTCTCTATTCCACCCTCATTGCGTTCATGGTATTAAGCCTTCACATATATCGGTACACACAACCTGCTCTCTATTCCTCCCTCATTGCGCTCATGGTATAAGCCTTCACATATATCGGCACACACAACCTGCTCTCTATTCCTCTCTCATTGCGTTCATGGTATAAGCCTTCACATATATCGGCACACACAACCTGCTCTATATTCCTCCCTTTGTTCCTCCCTGTCCCTCTCTTCCGTTTTCTCTATCCCTCTACTTGTCACATGTTTAATGTTTGGATTCACCTATGTGCGCACGCGCAATCTCCCCTTCCCAACAATTCTGTTGCTTCTAATTACGCTCACACACACTGTCTCTATCCCTCTCCCCCCTTGTCACAGGATTGGTGTTGGGATTCACTTATGTGCGCACGCGCAACCTCCTCACGCCCATCATCGTCCATTCGGTCTGGAACTCAGGAGTCATCATCATTCTCACCTTGCTGCGGGTAAGACCTTGTCTGGCTTGACTGGTAAGGCGTTGACTGGCTTGATTGCCTTTCCAACCTCCTCACTCCGATAATCATCCATTTGGTGCGGAACTCAGAGGTCATCATCATTCTCACCTTGCTGCGGGTAAGACCTTGCTATTTGAAGTGGTGGTGTTCAGCAGTTCCTCAATTCTTTCTCACTCCGGTAATCATCCATTTCGTGCTGAACTCAGGGGTCATCATCATTCTCACCTTGCATCAGTTGGGATGCTGGCACCCGCAAACTGCCTTCGTTGCATTCCCAACCCCCTCTCTGAAACTCTGTTTATTGTCGATTCAACTATATGGAAACGGGGGGGTGTCTTTTCTCACCTTGCTGTTGGTTTTTCTTTCCCAACTGCTTGTTTTCAGTCGTCTCAGCTCAATACACACTTAGGTCGGGTTGGGGGGTAATAGTGGTTCTTCCCTCACTGCTGCTCGGTGCATGTTGCTCCCCATCATCACTGCCTGTTTCAAGTAGACTCAACAATACACACATTCTTTCCTTGCCATGTTTCCTCTTGTTCCCTTCTGTTCTTTATTCAGATGGAAGGATATGATATACAGGAGCTTATATAAGCGCATGGAAGTGACTTTTGACTTTTGACTCGCTTATATAAGCGCATGGAAGTGGAAATAGAGTGGTTCAAGAAGACCTAGAGGTTAGATTCTTAACAGTTTTATGGAAGTGCAAGATTTTATCTAACATCAAGCATTGCCGGTGTGTGAAATGTGGTGAAGTTGGCCAACACGAATCCAGAGTGCCTGTTTCCACTCATTAGAGTTCCAATCTGTTCACATCGCTCAGCAACCCATCCAACTATACACTACCATCATGTTAGGTTCTGTGGTTTTGTAGCATTGTGGCAGTGTGGCAATGTGTCTGTGTGTGCATCTCGTGTTTTGCTCGTACTCAGCCCAGAAGAGGTACTGTACTACACTTCAATGGGACTAGAACTAGTACAATAAAGAGTCCTGTAGTACAGAAGAAATAAAAGCCCCATGGCACAGAAGAAATAAAACCCCCGTAGTACAGAAGAAATGAAAGCATGCTGTACAAGTTATACTGCCTGCAGAACTAAACCCCTAGTCTTTCCAGCACTGGACATGTTGCATTGGTGGCATGTTCATGTGAACCGGCAGATCATATCACAAAAAACGAACATGGACACATCAGTACACATTCTGTCTCCATGTTCATATTCATGTAACATGCATACTAAGATTTTCACGCATGCTTTGCTACTGAAAACCCCAACCAGCCCCTATCTGCATCCTAAACCAAAACATTGCCTCTCAACTTCACTAACCCGTTCAAAGAATCACATCATGTGACGTCTTACCGTGTTCCCCTCGACGCCATTTTCAAGCCCTGTCGAAGTTCCTTCGCACTTCACCTGTTACATCTGTGGGTGTCGAATCTGCTTATTACGGGTACCACGGCCGCCCGCTCCCATACAGGCGGCGGCTGTACATCTTGGGGAAAGACCAGGGGCGCCCGCTTCCCCATAGGCGGCGGCTCATCTTGGTCTTTCCGCCCGCCAGTGCGCCGTTGCCGCGGGGAACAGTTGGCTGCGGCGGCTCTGCGCGGATCTTCTCCTCCGCCTGAGCGGCGGATTCCTCCCGCGGAAAGTTCTCGAATCCGCGCAGCTGCCCTCCGCTGCTGCTGCTGCGCGTGCGGGGCTCCATCGCGTGGAACCCCCTTTCGCGGGTATCAGGGCAGTAATCATAACTCTGCTTATAGGCATATTTATTTGACATGTCAGCAGTAATCCCGTCAAACCCACCCCCGTTACACTGCGGGTAACCAAAGTCAGCACAGCCGGAATTCCCCGGGCACTGCAGGGAACTAATCCCCCACTCGATATCATCCGTGCTGGCCTGGTCGTAGCCGCTTAACTCGTAACCGGAGAGGTCTATATCGCAGCAACGCGCGACCTTGCGTAGGGTCCCCTGGCAGTCCTCGCAGTACAGCGCGCCGCGTTGAACGAGCGTGCACTTTCCCGAGCCGTCCGTGGCATAGCCGCTGCCGTAGAGACACGTGTGACGCCATCCGTTGCCGTTACAGAAGCTCAGGACGGCAACGGTCTCGCTGGCCTCGTTTGCACAGTCGAAGTTGAATGCGCGAACCGGAGCGAGTGGAAGGAGGAGGCAGGAAAGGAGGAGAGTCGCGAGGATTGTTTGGAGAAACGCAGGAAGAGCGTTTCCGGCCGTCATCGGCGCTAGTGACGCGTCGTCAGTATCAATTGACGAGAGAAACCGAAACGAAGGAAACTGCTATCCTAAGTACTTGAAAACAAGAAGGAACGTTGAGATTCTATTAACGAAAGACGAGGAGTTGCGCAGAGGCGTTTATGGTATAGATGAAAATTTCGTGCTTTGAAGGAACCGGCTAGCTTCATAGATGTGAAAGTAATCGAGCTGGGATCTGCTGAGAAAAGAGGCTAAAACGAAATAAATAGATGCTGGACCAATGACTGCTTGGCAAACTCAACACCAAGTGAAGGGGGGAGGAGAGAAATCGGTACGGGAAGGGTGAGTGAGATGCAAGCCAAAGCCCCACTCAAAGGTGCTGACAAATTTCTTGGGAAGAAATGAGTGAGTCTGGACAGCGATGCACGGAATGCGAATCGCGCCGAGTCACCTAGTTCGCCGTGCGATGCCACGCACGCATTTCTGGAGTCATGCTGTGCGCGTGCTCTTCGCAAGCTCATTTCGCGCGTTTCTTACCGAGTTGTGCAGGGCTGGAGGCTGACGAGACTGGCCCTAGCTGCTGCTCTGTTACGGCGTGAATGGCTGACGAAGAACTTCGCGAAGAGTTTCTCTGCTGGCAGTATCGTAACTGACGTTGACTTCTTTGAGAGATAATAGCTGCGCCCTTTACAACCGAATTCGCTAACTGTGAGTAGACACTACCATCATCCATCCACCTCTCTAAGCGTGGCTTGAATGAGCATTAGTGGGCATCCACTAGGTGTAGAACAATTCAAGTACACTCATGTTCTACCTCCTCGTTCTAGATGTGTGCTTTTTCTTAGGCGCCTCAAAAGAACTCCTCTTTGTGCAAGGCCCCTGATGATGGAATGCTCTTCCTTGTTTTATATGTCTGTGTGCGTACACTGCCATTTTTTAGATGTCTCCAAACGGTTATTCCTTGTTCTCGATATGTGTGTGACTGCAGTGCAGGATCCTCGCCTTGTGCGCATGCATGAAGTGGAAGTGAGGGTTGTTGGCACTGTTCAGCAGGTAGTGGGCACTGGACACTGGGCACCGGGCAGGCGCTACCAGTGTGTGACTGCAGGTTCCTTGCCTTATGCGCATGTACGATGATGACATGGAGGTGAGGGGTGGGACTGGTTGGAGGGCAGTGGGCATGGGCAGTGGGCGGTGGGCGTTATGCGTTTGCATGCTGTTGTGCTTCTACGCATGCATGCAAACGACATGGAGGTGAGTGGTTGCTGCAGAGCTTTTCATCGGGGACCTTACTGGTGGGGCAGGTAGGCACTGCATGTCAGAACATTATAGCTTATGCTTTTGTGTAGGCTGTAGTGGGGTAGCCCATATGGGGTACAACCCAATTAGGGTTAGTACTTGTACCCAACTCTTTCATAGTGCATTCATTTCTCGTTTCAGTCTTCTCATGGTATTGAGCAGGTTCCCTCGTGGGAACTGTTCCTTGGGCCCACCGATTCGATTTTTTTTTTCCTGCCCGGAGCGCGTTCAGCCCTTGCCCGAGTCGCGCTCCCCCCTTTCTCACTGTGTCGCGCCGCCCTAGCGGCTGTGTCGCGCGGCCCTTGACGGCCCCGATCCGCCGCCCTAGCGGCCCTGTCGCCTACCCCGCGGCCCTCGAGCCGCCTTTCCCGGCCCCGATTCGCCGCCCTTTCGGCCCCGTCGCCTACCCCGCGGCCCTCGCGCCCCCCTTCCCGACCCGGCCCCGCCCTTGCTGGCCCCGTCGCCTACCTGCGGCCCCGACGCCTACCTGCGGCCCCGTCGCCTACCCGCGGCCCCGTCACCTACCTGCGGACCCGACGCCTACTTGCGGCCCCGTCGCCTACCTGCGGCCCCGGCGCTGCCCTTCCTGGCCCCGACGCCGCCCTTCGCGACCCGGCCCCGCCCCTGCTGGCCCCGTTGCCTAGCCCTGCGGACAGGCAGGAGGAGTTCCAGTAGCCCCGCCCCTGCTGGCCAGTAGTGTGCTCTTGGCACGGACGTCCTTGAGGACAGGCAGGAGGAGTTCCAGTGTTTGGCTGCTGCTTCACCTCATCTCGTGTCCGTACTGCTTACCCCTGAGGGAGACCCGGATGCACTTGACATCCCGACTACACGCTCTTACGCGGAGGCGATAGAGGGTCCCTACTCCTCTCGGTGGCAGGCAGATATGGACACAGAGATGGCTTCCTGGAAGTCCACAGGCACCTAAGTTGACGAGGTTCCCCTGCCTGGGGCGAACATCGTCAGTGGCATGTGGATTTTCAGGGTGAAGCGGCCGCCGGGTTCTCCGCCTGTCTTCAAGGCGAGTTACGTGGCCCGTGGCTTCAGACAGCGGCAGGGAGTTGACAACTTTCAGACCTTCTCTCCCACCCCGAAGATGACCACTCTTCGGGTACTGCTGCACATAGCTGCTCACCGCGACTACGAGCTGCACTCTCTTGACTTCAGCACTGCTTTCTTGCAGGGCAACCTGCACGAGGAGATCTGGCTGCGTCGCCCACCTGGCTTCACTGGGTCTTTTCCTCCTGGCACCCAGTGGAGCCTCCGGCGGCCAGTCTGCGGTCTCCGCCAGGCACCGCGTGAGTGGCACGACACACTGAGGACTACACTTGCGGCTCTTGGGTTTTCTCCTTCTACTGCCGACCCGTCGCTGTTTCTGCGCACCGACACTTCTTTGCCGCCGTTCTACAAACTCGTGTATGTCGACGACTTGGTCTTTGCCATAGCTGACACTGCTGGACTCGCCCACGTGAAGTCCGAGCTGCAGAAGAGACACACGTGCACAGACCTGGGTGAACTTGAGAGAACTGAAACGAGAATGGATGAACTATGAACGAACCGAGTACAAGTACTAACCCTAATTGGGCTCTACCCCTTATGGGCTACCCCACTATAGCCTACACAATACGCACAAGCTATATGTTCTAACACACCCCCATAGGCAAAGTGGGGGAGAACAAGGGGTCACAAGACCAGTCAAGCAAAGCAAAGCAAAGCAAGCTCAAGGTGGATCACAAAGTCACCACACATTCTGAGCACAAGTTCAAGGCCACAAGGCCAGTTCACATGCAGGAGTACATATATATAAAGGACTAGACAAGCATGAGCAGGTGTATATATATGCAATAGTACAAGCAAGGTCAAGAGGTGAGCAAGTGAGGCAAAACAGGCACAAGACCCAGATGCGTGCAGAAGCGCTGATGATCACGAGGCGCAAGTGCCTTGGTGAAGACATCAGCAGTGTTGGCCTCAGAGGCCACGTACGAAAGCCGCAACTGACCACGCTGCTGTAGCTCACGAGCAAGGAAGTAGCGGAGAGCAATGTGCTTCGTTCTGTGCTCCAGTCTCTGCTCTCGACACAAGGCCAGCATGGCCTTGTTGTCTACGTACAGGACTGGAGAAGAACGAGGCGACTCTCCAAGGTCGGTCAGCAGGTAGGTGAGCCAGCGAAGCTCCTGTGCAGCCATGGCCCCGGCGTAGATCTCAACCTCACAACTGGAGTCGAGAACTGAAGACGAGCGAGTAGCTCGCCACGAAACAGAGCCGGAACCAAGGCTGAAGGTGTAACCCTGTGACGACCGCTGCGTAGCCTGGTCGTCAGCCCAAGAAGCGTCCGCGTGCCCAGTGAGGACCACTGGACTCCGCCCTCCAAGCACTAGCCCCATGCCCGACGTACTGCACAAGTAGCGCAACACCCTCTTCGCTGCAGCCATGTGCTCTGGTTGGTGTCTCCCAGGAGCAACATAGCGTGCGAGAATGCTAAGAGGGTATGCAAGGTCAGGTCGTGTGCAGGTCATCAGGTACATGAGGCAGCCAACAAGCTCTGGATACGGGCCACTCGACTCTACGGACTCATCCGAAGGCAGAGCTGAGAGCGAGTGACGAGTAGGCAGAGGAGTGGCCTAAGGCGAGGAGTTCGTGAAGCCGAAGCGCTGAAGGACCTGCTGCACCATGTGTGACTGAGTCAGGGTAATGGTGCGGCGTGCTCTGTCACGGGTGATCAGCAAGCCAAGGTAGCTGCGCATTTCACCCAGGTCTGTGCACGTGTGTCTCTTCTGCAGCTCGGACTTCACGTAGGCGAGTCCAGCAGTGTCAGCTGTGGCAAAGACCAAGTCGTCGACGTACACGAGGATGTAGAACGGCGGCAGAGAGGTGTCGGTGCGCAGAAACAGCGACGGGTCGGCTGTAGAAGGAGCAAACCCAAGAGCCGCAAGCGTAGTCCTCAGTGTGTCGTGCCACTCACGTGGCGCCTGGCGGAGACCGTAGACTGGACGCCGAAGACTCCATTGGGTACCAGGAGGGAAAGACCGAGTGAAGCCAGGTGGGCGGCGCAGCCAGATCTCCTCGTGCAGGCTGCCCTGCAAGAAAGCTGTGCTAAAGTCGAGAGAGTGCAGCTCGTAGTCACGGTGAGCAGCAACGTGCAGCAGTACCCGAAGAGTGGTCATCTTCGAGGTGGGAGAGAAGGTCTAAAAGTAGTCAACTCCCTGCCGCTGACTGAAGCCACGAGCCACGTAACGCGCCTTGAAGACAGGCGGAGAACTCGACGGCCGCTTCACCCTGAAGATCCACATGCCACTGACGATGTTCGCCCCACGAGGGGGGACAGCGTCAACGTAGGTGCCTGTGGACTTCCAAGAAGCCATCTCTGCATCCATAGCTGCCTGCCACTGAGAAGAGTAGGGACACTCTATCGCCTCCGCGTAAGAGCGCGGAGTTGGGATGTCAAGTGCATCCGGGTCTCCCTCAGGGGTAAGCAGTACGGACACGAGATGAGGTGAAGCAGCGGCCAAGCACTGGAACTCCTCCTGCGTGTCCTCAAGGACGTCCGTGCCAAGGGCACACTCACCCCCGACGGACGGAGGACAGACAGACTCAGAGTCAGCAACAAGACTGGCAGCGTAGTCTATACGACAGCGAGCAGCAAAGTCGACGAGCTCAGCAACTAGGGTAGACGCAGCAGTGGACTCAAAGGAAGGGTCAGTGACAACAGTAGCAAGGAGACGCGTGAC